TCGGATTTGGTAGATTTTATAGATACGAAGATCTTCGAAACTGTATTTTAATATGTTTTGAAAAGGTTTAAACAAAACAGGACTTTTAAGAATTTTTGTCATTGTAGAACCCTGTCAAGTTTGGGTCATGGGATCATCTATTGTATATTGGGCGGCCAGAAGCATTAAGAGAAGACCAGGGGGTCAAAACCTCGGATTACAGTCAAAAGGTTATAATTTTCATTGGTATGGCCAGCGAGGGATGAAATGGAAAAATTTGTTACCTTCAGTTGAAGAAAATCTTAGATGTTATCCACCTCCACAAATTTTGATCATACATTTGGGTTCTAACGATTTGGGTTTAATCAAAGAAAAAGAGCTTATTGAGCAGATAAGGTTGGACATTATGCGATCACATGTGTTATTGCCAAATCTCTACTTGGTATGGAGTGAAATTTTGCCTCGTAGATACTGGCTCTTGGCAGAAAATCAGGTGGCTATCAATTCGACTCGTAAACGAGTTAATGCAGCTGTTCGTAATATATTCAAAAAAGAATTAAATCATGGTCTTGTAATTTGCTATCCAAATATAAAAGCTCAAGAAAGAGATTTGTTCAGGCATGACGGAGTGCACTTGTCAGATGTAGGTAATGATGTTTTCTTAAATAATGTTCAGGGAGCTTTGGAGTTGTTTGCAAGTTCTGACTGTCGAGTATTTCCTAATTGATGAGTTAATTGTATTTTAGTACGGGTAGTAAACTCGTTTCGTTGGGGATGAGAGTGTATAGACCTTCTCATTTGGCGGGATCTGGCAAGATGACAGGGGGGTCATGACCCTATAATTCTACGTTAGACCATTTGTTAAAATATTCTCCTGTGGTACCACAGGGAAGTTGTGTTTTTTTTAAACGGCTTTCTCTTGTTTACCAGAGTGGCCGGTTCATCACTGTTACCAGTTTTGAATTTTATCCTCCGAGTACCGAGGAAGCGTTATTCAAGTTATGGCCTAGCGTCAGTGTGGGGTCGTGCTCCTCGTTCACTCTAATTTTCCTTAGAGGAACTTTTGTTACTTCTGTTACCAGAAGAACACCTACTTGCCAATATTAAAAATGCCGGCGGTTTGTATCGTCTTGCCAGACCTCGTTTACTGTTTTTTCCCTGCGGCCGATTTTATTCCACTTAAGATTTCTTGAATTATTTAGTTTTAAGGAGTTGCGGAATGATCGCCTATGAGACAACTCGATTGTACAAACAACGTTGGTATTAGCATCTAAAGGTAACCGTACAACCTTCAACAATGAGCAAAACATTTACCATATGCGGCCGGTTTTATTCCACACATTATTTCTTGAATTATTTTAATCTTTAATTAATATTTTAAATTATCTTTTTATGTTAAATCGACGCCATAAATTAAGTAGACCAAATACATATAAACTTTGGCAGTATCAACCTCTCGAAAATAAGATGAGCCGTTTTGATAAACTTTTCACGTTTGAATTTAATTGAAATCTAAACTTGAATTCTTATTGTTTTCAAAAAGTATGTCATGTCTCGTGACACAATATAAACACTTACATATTTTTTTAAATCCGGGTTATATATAAGTTCGACTTATACATGTTATAGATGGGCACAGTTTCGTGAACGAATTTATAAGCGTTTGTGTGTTCATCTGTCTGACAATTTATTTACATGCATCTGTATTCAATTGACAATATCATAAATGAATGAGGAGCGATGTCTGCTTTTGGAAATGATTGTCATTTTTACTACAACACTAGTTTAGGATGTGAAAAGGTACAGCTATATTTTTAATTTTTATCATAAAGGAAGTCACTCAATATGTTATTGTTATTTTGATATACTATCATGGTAACAATTAATATTTGACAAAAGTCTTATCCTTCGAAAAGTCATGAACAAGAAAAGAAATCGGGGAGGAACGACACATAGTTTTAGATAAATCTAGCTGTTAATAAAACGCTGATGGTGACTATTAAACGTAACAATTAAAAATATGGGTGAAGTAGCTACAGTCTATAAAGGAAATTCTGATAAGAAACACATATCCTGGTATGTCGTTAGTTCTCAATTGAGCCTCTTGTTGCTTTCTAGGTGTAAGCAATGCGATAGCTGCGATCAACATAGCCACCAAACTTTGAAGAAAAGAAAGGATTGTACCAGCTGTCCTCCTTCAATTCTTATAAGAGGAAATGTAGGACACCTGTCTCGTAATTAAATGCCAGAAGAAATAAGTTTATATGAAAAGAAACAAAGCTGGTTGCCTTATCTGATGAATAGCATATTCAACAAAAAGTATCATATTGTCAACAAAAATGAAGTTTTTTTGTGGTAGCGGACTCTTCGTTAGAATCAGCGTGTTTTGTTTTAACAAGCTATGATTTGTTCATACTAAGAATGATATTTTTTAACGTCACAGTCCATATGTTTTAATGAAACAAAGTTTAACTTATTCTAATAATCTATTATTTTGAGTTTAGACTATCATGAGGAAAAAGTTGTGTAAAGTGTACAGAAGTTGTTTTTAGAAATTAACTGAAATCACAATACATGTTTGGTTGTCCTTATTCTGTTTTTCCTCTGCGGAAAGGATAGCAAGCAACCAATACATACCCGTTTATTAACGAAACATTGACAACTGATAGGTGCAACATTATTTCATAAAACAGCAGCATTACCCATCTCAACCCTCCTTCCACTGTTTTATTATTTTAAGGGATATGCACATCAAGACGAGCAAAGCATAGCTGCAGATTAGTCTCAAATTCGCATTTCTCTTAGTTTTGCACATTTTATATGTAGCACAACGTTTTGCGCCTAAAACGTGCTTTGTTACACGCTTTTATATTAAACATAAACGCATTTATAAATATAATATAAAAACTCATTTCAAAACGTTCTTAAGAAATAACATGACATGACATGTTTAATATGATCTCTCGTAGGTCTTGCCTTGAAAAAGAAACTACGTGCAACTATATTTTTTTAGAGCTAAAGAGCATTCGTTATCATTTTGTTAAAGTTTTCTTTCATTAATGCGCAGTAACTTAAACGACAAAAGAAAGAACGTTATTTTGCACACAAGAACTTTTAATGAAAACGAAAAGAATCTGGCAATAACCTTTAACCTCACGACCCGCTATCACGATGATGTCTTTTCACTGATCAATTAAAAGTTTGGTGACTATGTTTATTGCATCTGCTCGATTGAACTAGAACCAAAGGATAACACAGACACATATTATTGTTGCATATTCTGATTTAGGTCTAGAATAAAATAGCATTCACTCGTGAAAAATATATAAACTGCGTGATAATGTGCAAATAGTTTTTTTTTTAATCAGGGATTCCCCATTTTACATATCTTCTTAAACTTACAACAACAAATGGCTTGAGTTGACACCGTGAAAAAACACATTTTTTCAAGGACAAACGAGTATTCGACTCAATTAATAAGGCATCACTGAAAAGAGCGAAATAAACATTTTAACAAAATGATATTTCCTTATTTTACAAATATTGTTTCAGAAAAAGGGTGAAGGTTTGGTACCATTAAAACGTTTAAACCCTCTGCATTTATTTGCACCTGTCCTAATTCAGGAATCTGATGTTCAGTAGTTGTCGTTTGTTGATGTGGTTCATAAGTGTTTCTCGTTTCTCGTTTTTTATATAGATTAGACCGTTGGTTTTCCCGTCTGAATGGTTTTACACTAGTAATTTTTGGGGCCCTTTATAGCTTACTGTTCGGTGTGAGCCAAGGCTCCGTGTTGAAGACCGTACTGTGACCTATAATGGTTTACTTTTATAAATTTTGACTTGGATGGAGAGTTGTCTCATTGGCACTCATACCACATCTTCTTATATCTATTTGTTAAACCTGCAGTCAGATATTAAAAAACATGTAGTGTTTAGTTTGTTGATTTCGAATGAATTTTAAATATAATCCAATTATGTCCAATGAATAATGTTAATTCCAAAGTTTACAGTTTGATAAAATTCCATTAAGGCAGTGGCGGATTCAAAGATGGGTATGCAGGGCGTACGTCCGAGTTTGGTCGATTTTATATTTTTTTTATTTTTTTTTTAATAAAATCGTCCAAGATATATAGTTTTCTTGAATTACTCCCTTTTTATAAAAAATCCTGGATCCACCCATGAAAGTTTGTCGTTCGCTGCTTTTTTGTGAATTTGTGCAAAGCAAAATCACAGTCATATCCTGGTCTAATGCGAAAAGATAAGGTGAAGAAGTCAATTCTTAGTTCATAAAATATGCCCTTTCGAGCAATTTCGACACCATCGGATTCTTCAGAAACTGTATTCGTTCTTTCTAAATTTTGATATATGAACGCATAATACCTGATTTAATTGATTGGTGTTTAACGCCACTTTCAACACTATTGTTTTACTTCGTGGCGGTCAGTTTTTATTGGTGGAGGAAGCCGCAGTGCCCGGAGAGAACCATCGAAAACTGACAATCCTAGTCAATTAAGATTGGAGTCGAATGAATCTGCCCCGTGCGGGATTTGAACTCACAACCTAAGTGTTGACTGGCTAGTGATATAGTAGTTCGACTACTTAGACCACTCGGCCACCGATGCTTCCTTAATACCTGATATAGTCACAGAAATCGTGTTTTGAAAAAATCTTTTTTTATGTTTGATCGAAGCCATAATTTAAGTGGACCAAATACATATTAACGTTGGCAGTATCAATCTCTCGGAAACAAAATGAACCGTTTTCAAGTTTAAATCAAATTGAAACCGAAACTTGAATTCTTATTGTTTCCAAAAAATATGTTGTTACTCATGACAAAAAATATACACATTCACATATTTTTTTTATATCCGGGTATTTAAATTCGACTTACAGATCGGCACAGTTTCGTGTATGAATTTATAAGTGTTTATGTTTTTCTCTGTCTGACAATTTATTTATATTAATCTACATCCAAATGACACTATCATTTAACGGATGAGGAGGGATGTCGGCTTTTGGAAATGATTGTCATTTTTATTACAACACTAGTTCAGGATGTGAAAAGGTACAGCTATATTTCTAATTTTTATCATAAAGGAAGTCACTTTGAATAAAATCGTTTGTTATTGTATTTTTTTTATATACTATGGGTGTAATGCGTTAATAAGTAATTGCTTTGTTTTCTCAAAGTCCCGTATAAGAGATGTTATTCCGAATGGATTATCTGACCAATTTAAACCCTTATTAGACTCTGAGCTCACACATTCCTATAAATTTCAAAATGGAAAGGACCAATCACATCACGTAAGTCGTATAGAACAGACAACATGAAGACCAAAAGAAAAGCAAAATAACAAAAGAAGAAATATCCTAGTCCATAAGTGATTACAATTTAATATAACATTTATATTACGTAAGAGCCAGACGATTACCGAAGGTTAATGCAGGTACTCCATAAGAATGGTTAGTTGTTCCCTCTTCACTAGTGTTGTCCATGATAACAAGTAACTCCGATAAAAATTTTATCCGCCGAAAAGTCATGAACAAGAAAAGAAAACTGTGACACAGTGCTGTCTAGCTGTTAATAAAATGCTGATGGTGACTATAAAACGTAACAATTGAAAATATGTGTTAAGTAGCTACACTCTATAATTAAAAGGACATTCTGATAGGACACACATATCCTGGAATGTTGTATTATTTGTGATATCTTGGGCATATGTAAGAAAAGAGCACGGGTGCTGCTTGAATGTTGCTATAGAAATCAAATTTTCAAAATGGAATAATCCAAGTCATCTCTTTAGTTGTCGAGTTTAGTGCTCAATCGAGCCTCTTGTTGCTTTCTAGATGAAAGCAATTGGATAGATGATGCGATCAACATATCCACCAAACTTTAAAATAATCAGTAAACGGACATTATTTATACAGATGAACAACATAAAGATATGTTTTAAAGGGTATGCACATCAAGACGAGGAAATCATAACTGCAGATTATCCTCAGACGCGATATAATTAGTATACGGTTTAACTTTTATTAAAAATGAAATGTATTTTATTACATTTTATATTTTTTATGAGCAAACATTTATATAAGATACTGAGAGCCTCTAGTTCTGCATTATATTAACTATTATTACTATTATATGGCATTATTAATATGTTCTCTTTTAGATCGTGACTTGTAAGAGAAACTTTTTACTAATACATGCATGGATGAAACAGATAGTATAGGGATTTCATATCCTGGTTAATGTCTAAAACATCCTTTCCAAATTTCTCAACTAATTAAGCAGGAAATGCCTACCATTCCAGGGCATATAAATTCATTCACGGATTTTTGGTGGGGTTCGTCTTGATCAATCTTTTTGTGTAGTGTTTTCTGTACTGTCATTTTCTATATTTGTCTTTTTTATAAAAAAATTTTGTCCGTTGTGTTGTATGTTTATATTCGACTTCTAAATTCTGATTGCGCTCTTGATAGCTTCTCTACGGTTTTTCATTATATTGTCCTTTTGTTTATCCTTTATTTGCTCTTTTCAACAGTAGAATGCTTAGGTGAACTGTTTGATGAAGAATTTTATCATTTTTATATGATTTTTAAAAGCTTTTTTTATTTCTTCTACTATTACTCTGGTTAATACAATGTTAAATTGTTTTAAATAATAGTGTTCAGTGCGTCTTCTTAGCTTTTCGATCCATTTTGGAAACCCTTAAATTTAATAGGTACAACATACTTGGTTATAACAATTATAGCAAGAAAGTTCAATTTTTCATTTTTATTTTAGAGAGATAGATGTCCTTTCAGACATAGCGAACCAGCAAGATCCTGTTTCGTTACGTGTAACTTTTGGCAGAAAGGGAGATGCACGAGACCTAATTGTAAATATAGACATTCAGTAGTGAAACAACAACAGGTAACAGGGTCATGCGATTACTTAATATTGCTATCAGTAAGAGATACTTCCTGATTTTCTATTTATAAAATCTATCCCGGAAGCTAAGATATTACTGAAAATAAGGCACAATGTCAAAATACACAGATAAAGATATTTTCTTCCTTTTTATGTCATGTTATCTGTCTTTGGGTTGGTTCCCCTGTTAAGTTGGTTGTTAGATTAATCGCATGACACACACGTCATATCTAATTTACATAAAGTCCATAAATGTTTATAACAAATGGCTTGAACAATTGTGGGTCAATTTTGAAAGCACGCACTAGAGTATGCAAATGAGAGCTTATATATCTAATAATATAACAATGTGGATAACCAAACTGTGACGGATTTCAAATCTACTGCCATTGGTTCATTGATATCTTATTTTCAATACAAAAAGAAAGAAACCAGATACTAAATAAATCTTGTAAAATGAATATTTTCTATTAACATTCTTGTAATGTATGTTTCCTTTATGATGAATGGTCAAGGAAACATCTAACTTGTAGTAAAATAAGACTACCTCTTTCTCAGTGATCATTTCATTTACAGAAAAAACGTCAACTTATACCCTGCTTTCATGAAACCCAACCATCCGGTTGTAAACGACCAGGCTGTCCTTTTAAACACTCCAAATCTGATGCAGCTACTCGGTATGAGTATGAAGATGCATTATCCGGTAAGTTATTTAACATTCTGCACTATGAATATTCTTCAGACGTTTATTTGACGGAGATGTTTTTTTCTTTTTTTCAACATTTGTTAATCATGCACACTATGAAGTTAGCTATTCGAAGTGAAAACGAATATACATATATGAAGCTGACAAGTTTAAACTATGGTTTTTAATTCTTATTAAGTCCATGATAGCCATTTGGTTACTATCTCGTGTGGAGGTATACTATAAACTGATAAGGTTATAGTGGATTTTTTATTTGCTCCAAACTCAATTTATCTTTTATCATATTAAAATGAAGTCCATTTAAAAATAAGGAGATATGGTATGATTGCCAATGAGAATACTATCCACCAAAGTTCAAATGAAGTGAATGCTAGCAATTATAGGCAACCGTACGGCCTTCAACAATGGAAAAAACCCATACCGTATAGTCGGCTATATAAAGCCCCGACATGAAAAATATGAAACAATTCAATTGAGAAAATTAATAACTTATAACAAAACAATTTACGAAAAACAAATATGACAGACATGAACCAACGACAACCTCTGAGCTACAGACTCCTGACTTGGGGCAGGCACATAAAGAATATGGCGGGGTTAAACATGTTTGCGAGCGCTCACTTTCTCCTAATCTGGAACAGTGGTGTTACAGCACAACATAAGAACAAACTATAAACTCAGTTGAAAAGGGATTAACTCATCAAGTGGATATAAATCAGAAAAACATCTAACAAAAACACTGACCGGACGTGGCAGGGTTTTTATACACCCCCAACAACAAAAAAGACACAAAATACAGATCTGAGAGTATTCGCAGTTACTGACAGCTAGTTCAAAGCCAATAACAACTAATAAAAATCATGTATCTTTGACTAAATTATCAATCAGTACACATCCAACATCCAATGGATTTTGTGTAAAGCCGTCATTAACAGTCAGAGAAAACCATGACCTTGTGCAATATCAAAATAAAGGTATCGACAGATTTTAGTACCGCAAAAGTGCATATGTGTATAAAAAAATAATATTTAGTATGGTTTTAATTTACTTTACTGATACCAAAAGGCTTTATATGAGTTGCAGCAAATGAATTTGCAATCAGATATATCAAACGACCATTTAATTAAATAGGAAAACTTTTGTTTGATAAGATTGTGTGGAAGTGTAGTATAAAGAGTGTAAAAGTCAAAATTGGCAACCGAATCAAAAGGACCATCAAAAGCACGTAATTTATCTAAAACATCCAAAAATAGTTAATTCCACTATGTTCATATGTTTTATTACAAAGTTAATGATAAGTTGTTTGATAGAAGTTAAGGAACACCGTTAAAACCACTGAATGATTAGTAGTAGAACACTTACTAGAGGCCGAGGTGAAACGATATTTTACGGATTTTTTGTGTAGTTTAGGTAACCAATACATAGTGGAGACCTTCAAATGTTCAGAGGAGGACTTAAGGTGAGCTGTGGTAGTGACATTATTATTTACTATACGACTCTCTGTGGAGCGTACGGCCTTGAATGTAGTTGAATGTATAATTTCATTCTTAAGGACTTCCGTGTAGTATTTACGTCATGCCACCACCACATTGTTGGCTGCTTTGTCGGCAGCTACGAACACAAAACGCTTTGCGAGTACTTGAATTTTGTTTTTAATTCTAGAAATGGGCGTATTACTTACTCTGACTTTTATTTATTTCTAAAATATTTTCGAAATGTGATACGAAGATCAACAATATTCAGACATTGATTTAAATAGTACCCCAGTTACTTTTTTTCAGATTTCTCCTGTTTACACAAATTTTTACAAAAGGATGACAGAGCATATTTGATGACCTGAAGACACTCTTTCCGTCTTTTTAGTTGCGGCGATGATGAAAATTAAGGTTGTCTTTTGATTTTACTTAAGATTGCACGAACATCACAATAAAAGCAATATTCCTTACAAATGTATTAATATATTTGCAGTTCTTTTTCATTGGCTAAAGATCATTTAACATTTAAAATTTTTAAAAAATGTGCATAAGTGAATTATTTTTTTTTTCGACGTGTAGCTACCCATGCAATGGCATCAATGGAAACTGGTTCTGATTTTTGGGAACCTTCACTGTCACCGAGTGTCCCTATTTCTCTAACTTGTACTAATAACAGTATTATGCTGTCGTGGACAGAACCAGACGAAGCAAATGGTTACATCAATGGGTATAAAATTGTCTACAGAGAATACATTCTGGACAGTTAAAGATGGAAATTCATCTCAACGAAAAGTAAACAAACAATTTGCACAGTGAAGGACCTGAAAGGTGATACCCAATACGAGTTCAAGATTTGTACTGTTGACAGAGATGGAGAGGAGGGATCGTTCAGCCACCCAACAGTCGTATTCAAAACTAAGCCATCTCTAGCACATTCTGTTAAAGTTTCAGCAAAGAGAGTAAGATATTTAGATCCAGAAATTTATAAAATTCCATTACAAAAAACTAAAGGTGGCACAAATAATGGAGCAAAAACACAAGAATACCACTTTGGTAAGTATTACTACTAAATACTCTTATATCGATAATTTTGTCTAAAATGTTTAAGACAGCACATCTAAATATTAAGATGTGTCCAATTAATTATATAGATATTTGCACTTCTATCAATGCAATGCGATTTAGAAGTTTCATTTAAAACGTCTAATAATTTAGGGAAACCGTAACAGTGTGGACGGACCTGTTTAAAATAGCGAATCATTTACCTTTAACTTTTTTGTTACAATGATTTTACGCATACACATTCTGTCAGAGGCCTTCCATTGGGATGGTCAATAATCACTTGTTTCACATTTCGATACATAAAATCAAACTTTCATTAAACAAAATTTAAAAGGCATTTGTTTTAAATGTTATTTTTATCATCACACCCAAGAGTTTCATTTGAAATAATAACAAATGTGTAGAGCTTACATCATTAAATTATAGAAAAATATATAAACACGTTTCGATTTCAGTCGTTATAAAAAACTTCCAAGTTTATGGGGTTATAAATATCTAACGAAGAACAAATGCTCCCACGTTGTGAACATTTAAAAGTAACCTACCATTTATTAAATGGATAAGATTTATTTGTGCAAAGAGCGCAGGATAATGAAAAAAAACAAGCATTTTCTTTCTTCAAACTGAATATTTTTCGCATTGCACATCATTTGAATCGTTCAGTAATATAGAAGACTCGCACGGTCAGTTTGCTTTGGATATTCAAGTATATTAGACTGCCCAATTATCTCAATGTATGTATATTTCTAAAGGTAAATATGAATAATTAAAAAACTTTTCTTTTTGTATAATGCTTTATGTACATCCGTGTGGTTGTATTTCGGATATTTCGCTATTTCCCCGTGTTTAATTATTCATAAGGTAAGCGGATATGGTTCGAGTATTTTTGAAATACTCTTTTCATATTTATAGCAACGAAGTAATTATTTGTGAATTTGAGCATAGAACCAAATATTTAGATCGTAAATGAATTGAAAAAAAAATGTGAAGATTCAAGTAGTAGTACACTGAGAAAAAAAAACGTGTTCTCGGTAAAGTAGTATTCCAGGCCAAAAATATTGCCCTTTTATTCAAACAAACAATTATATTGGCCGGAAAGTTAGTATTCAAATGAATGTGTATCCATGAATGGTAGTGTACCCGATTTGATTAAATGTATCAATGTTTCGGGGCGATACATATTTTTTTAGCAGTCCTCAATCATTCAGAAAAAAAAGTGAATAAACTTGTTAATTTCAATTTGATATTAGGGACAAAAAGAAAAACGACACTGAGATTAAAAAAATATTGATCCTGTTTGTTTAGGAAAAATAAATCAATGCCCCCCTTCCCCGCCCCCCCCCCCCCCCAAAAAAAAAAAAAAACAACCGAACAAACCCACACACACACTCTCTCAGAAAAAATGAGTGGTCGGTACATAATCATGTATTAAGGATACGAATCTGTTGGAAAGCATGGAATTTTATCAAGACAAATGGTTAGCAGAAAAGTTCCAGTTTCCCATACATCTTACTATATATAATGTATTATTCTAGATGATATTCAAGATCTAGTCCGAATACTGAGTCAGTCAGTAGAACCATGGACAATGATGGACCAACTAATTTGAATTCTTTCAAAATTCTAGCGTTCCAGTAAATACATTAATACAACAAATTATTTTATTTAGATATTGAATTCAATTATTCCTATTTCATAAAATAAATGCAAATTGTATTAAGCTAGGTCAAATTACATGTAGATTTTTTTGACTGTCCAATATATTGCAAGTTCGAAAAAGACCGTACGAAAGAATATTTTTTTTCAATTTTGTAAAAGTGCATCGTGCATTCGTTCCAAAAAATAAAATTTAAGACAAGATATAAGTTGAAAGATACGAGGAGCCCACTTTGAGGTCCGAAACAGGTAATTGCTAACACATTTATAACTTCTTTAATAGCTAGGTGAATTTAATTTCTATTTCTAAAGAACAGGCGATATCATAAACCATTTCATTATCGATTATCAGTGAAGAATGCAAAACAAATCATCAAAACACAAGGTTTACTCCACTAGTGTTTTTTCGAGTTATTTGTTTTAAGGCGTTAATAAACATTGAAACAACCAGGAGAATCACACAAGCAATTTGAAAATCACGTGAAGTTCGCGAATTATTTTGGATAAAAAGACTTCAAACAGCTTATCCTCTCGGTCTCAATGACACAATATTAGGACAGGGGAACATATCTAAAACTTCTATCGATGTCATTAATATTGTTGATAAACGACTTAGAAATAAAAGATCTTATGGTAAACGCAAAAACCGTAATCAACGTATTAAACATCGTATAAATTATACACTTGGTGATCTGTTATCTATAATAAAAAATAATGGCAGGCATCAAGTATTATGCAAACTGGTCAGATACCAATAAGTAAATTATATGCTATTTTTCTGGAGTGTAATAAAATTTCTTGTTTAGCCCGTTTTATGAATACACCCGTATTATTACAGCCTTTTGTCATCACAGGCTGTTTCCTAGTATCGATAAACCTGAAAATCATAAACGACATTTTCTTAAATTAAAATATATAAATAGAGGTATTGATTTTATTAACTTATCTAGCATATTCAATGACTCTTCCGTCTATAGCCAAATACCTCCATATTTTGATAATATAGAACCACCCGTTATTTCGTATTCTTATAAAAAACCGAGCAGAAGTTTGGTTTTTAATTATACGTCAGTTACATCAGACGTCAATATAGAAAATAATGTTCCTTCCACTTGAGACTGTGAAACATCTAGTTTTAGATATGTTCCCTATGGTCATGTTTATACAGGAGACCTCAACATCGTCGAACACCGTGAGGTCAAAACTTTTCTAAAGAAAGGACCGAAATACCGTCCTCCATCTATAATTATAGATTGGAAACAGTGTCGTCAGGTCATTAAAGACGCTCTGTCTGCCTACTGTAAAAATTGGTGCAAACGTGAAACATCTGATAAAAAATATTTGAATAAAATTATGAATACTGTTAATATTGGAATATCTCATTTTGAAAACAATTCTGAGGCAGCCAATAATGTAGTGGTGGTATGAAGCATATACTACACGGAAGTTCTTCAAAACGAAATTATCAATTCCTCTACATTCAGGTCCGTACGCACCACTGAGAGTCAAATCGTTAACAAGCATATCACTGCCACTACCCAGCTTAAAGCCTCTTCCGAACATTTGAAAGTCCCTACCATGTACTGGTTACCGAAATTACACAAAAAACCATTTAAATTCCGTTTCATCTCCGCATCTAGTAAGTGTTCTACTACTAATCTATCAGTGCTTCTTACTACCGCCCTTACTACTATCAAATAACTGGTTATTAACTTTTGTAATAAAGCTTATGAAAATAATGGTATTAATTATTTTTGGAGTGTTAAAAATTCTTTAGAGGTTTTAGTTAAAATACATGCTTTTGATGGTCCTTTTAATTCTGTTGACAGTTATGATTTTTCTACTCTCTACACTACACTTCCACACAATCTAATAAAGAAAACGTTTTCATATTTAATAAAATTGTTTTTCGAAAAATCTCATTGTAAATTTATTTGCTGTATCTCGTTTTAAGCCTTTTTCTGTAAAAGGAAAGTATACTAGATGCACTAACTGGAAATGTGAGGATATGATTGAAGCTTTAAATTTTCTCCTAGATAACATATATGTACGTTTCGGCGATAAAGTGTATCGTCAGGTAGTAGGTATTCCTATGGGCACTAACTGCGCCCCTTTAATAGCAGATTTATTCCTTTATTGCTATGAATCTCAGTTTATGACCAAACTCAGTAAAGACACATCATTGTAACAGTTACATTTGGTTGATACATTCAACAAAACCTACCGTTATCTGGATGATATTTTTTTCATTAAATAATCCAGAGTTCTCTACAATACCGAAATTTACCAAAAAGAACTTACTTTAACTAAATCTAACATAAACAGCAGCAGTTGTCCTTTTCTAGATTTAGACATTTCAATTTCTAAAGGGAAACTCCATACTAAAATTTACGACAAAAGAGACGATTTTTCATTCCCTATTGTTAATTTTCCTTTTTTAGACGGCGATGTGCCTTTGGCTCCACCATACGGTGTTTATATATCCCAACTCGTTCGGTATGCCCGTGTGTGTAGTGATGTCATAGATTTTAACGAACGTAATCAATGCATCACCGGTAAATTATTAAGTCAGGGATTTCGTTAATATAAATTACTTAAAACTTTTACTAAATTCTTTCATAGATACAAAGATTTAATTAGTAAATTTGGCTGTACCTGTAGAAAACTTATTAAAAATGGTATTTTACATCCTAAATTTTACGGTAATATTGTACTTAAAGCGCGGAAATCACTATGTGATCCGTGTAAATTCACCGAACCTTTAAACAAACTTATTAGTAATGGTTAACGTACCAATGTTGTAATTAGATCTCTGAATATAGTTTACATTGGCACTAATATCGATTTTGTCATTAGCAAATTAAAACATAACTAAATTTGTATTTTCTTTTCAAACGGGATAGATATAGGAAGATGTGGTATGAGTGCCAATGAGACAACTCTCCATCCAAGTCACAATTTATAAAAGTAAACCATTATAGGTCAAGGTACGGCCTTCAACACGGAGCATTGGCTCACACCGAACAGCAAGCTATAAAGGGCCCCATTAAATTACTAGTGTAAACCATTCAAACGGAAAAAGCAACGGTCTAATCTATATAAAAACGAGAAACGAGAAACACGTATGAACTACATAAACAGACGACAACTACTGTAATCAGATTCCTGACTTAGGACAGGTGCAAACATTTGCAGCGGGATTAACGTTTTAATGGTACCAAACCTTCTCCCTTTTTCTGAAACAATAGTATAACATCACAACAGAGAAAAAAATACTATAAAATATCAATTGGAAGGCTTAACTCAATCAAAAAACGTAAATTGGGATGTGTAGAGACACACACACGTTCATTTTTATCTATAAAGCAGTCACTCCTTACTATCCTACTACCTGTCGATACATTTTCTAAATATTGTTTAACATTTCACAGTGGTATCATACTTTAACTTTGTTTCAACCTCTTTATTTACTTTTGACCTTAGTTATTTATCCCTTGTAGTTTTTATTAACTATGTATTTGCATTCAGGTATCACAGATCAAAGTTATTCGTTATTCGTTCATTGTGTGTTAATTTACATTTTTTGATTGAGTTAAGCCTTTCAATTGATATTTTATAGCGTGTCTTTCTATGTTGTGATGTTATACTATTGTTTCAGAAAAAGGGAGAAGGTTTGGTACCATTAAAACGTTTAATCCCGCTGCAAATGTTTGCGCCTGTCCTTAGTCAGGAATCTGATTACAGTAGTTGTCGTCTGTTGATGTAGTTCATACGTGTTTCTCGTTTCTCGTTTTTATATAGATTAGACCGTTAGTTTTCCCGTTTGAATGGTTTTACACTTGTAATTTTTGGGGCCCTTTATAGCTTGCTGTTCGGTGTGAGCCAATGCTCCGTGTTGAAGGCCGTACCTTGACCTATAATGGTTTACTTTTATAAATTGTTACTTGGATGGAGAGTTGTCTCATTGGCACTCATACCACATCTTCCTATATCTATTTGGCGACCCCGTACGTGTTTAAATGTCCTTTGTAAAAAACAACGCATTAAGTGGGCGTAACAGACGAACGTTCATCTGACCCAGTCAATTGATAAACTGAGCGCGCCAAGAAATGGTCTTGTCCAAACTGTTATGAATTCAATAATATTTCATATCCTGGCATCGGTGTGGCCTTTTGTGTACTCTACTAAGGTGAAGGAACTTTGGGGTGCTGTGATTGGATGTATAAGTATAATATAACTTTTATCTATGAATAACTGCAATGTGTAAATTTACAATCAAAATTTTGAAATATATGGCAATAGTTTTTAGCTTGCTGTTCGTTGTGAGCCAAGGCTCCGTGTTGAAGGCCGTACTTTGACCTATAATGGTTTACTTTCACAAATTGTGACTTGGATGGAGAGTTGTCTCATTGGCACTCATACCACATCTTCTTATATCTATTTGAGAATTTTCCGACAAGGCTTCTGAATTTTCATGATGTGTGGATAGTATAAACAAGTTCAATATGAAGATATTGATTCAAACATTAACATCCACTTCTTAAACAGAATAATAAAGTACATGTACTTATATAACACATGTCTTGTTCTGGTTTTTATTATAAAAAGTAACAAATTCATAAAATTATAGTTTTGTCGCCTATGGAGGAAAAATAGTTCAGTCTTAAATAAACAGATCTGGTTTTAATGTTGTGCTAACAGTTAAATATGCTTGAACGTTCTAGGTGGACTTCTTTGTTGTAAGGTTGTGAATGCTTTGAGATCAAAAGGTTAACATTTGTATTGTGAAAAGTAATATCGTATCATTAAACTTCATTTATTTTTATTTTTAACAAGAAGTGCTCATCAAGGGAATTGGGACTATTGAATAATAATATTAAATGTTGCCAAAACAAGATCTACGTGAGGGAGTAGAACCAGACACGCATCAAATAAAAACAACAACAATTGATCTTCTCTAGTGCTAAGCTAATAGAATAGATAATAGAAATGTGTCAAAGAGACAACAACCAGACCAAAGAGCAGAAAACAGCCCAAGGCCACAAATGGGTCTTCAACGCAGCGAAAAAATCCCCAACCCGGAGGCAGCTTCAGATTGCCCCAAAACAATAATGTATACTAGTTCAGCAAAATGGACGCCACACTAAACTCTAAAACATACAAATGAACACAAATTTAAAAAAAAAAACACAAAGACTAACCAAGACAAGAGGTTCCTGACTTGGGACAGGCGCAAACATTTGGCGGAATATAATTCTTGATGTAGTATGACGATGACGAAAACCTCAATTAATATAGTTTAAAAACCAGTACAAGCAGAAACTATTATTCTAAGACAGGCGGTAATTAAAATGTTAAAGGCTGTAGATATCGTTTGATGTTGCCGTATCTAATAATATCTAGATAAATCTTTTTAACAAGTTCACATTTTATCACATGTTGAAGATGTTTTAATTGTAATATGGAAAGAACATTCACAACTCAATATGTTCTACAAGATACTGTTCACAACAGTTGTAAAAGGAATATTTTAGTAGACACAGAGCATGACAATTGTACCTGTGTATGCAAAGTGTAGCTTGTATATTTACTAGGAAAAAAGATACCAGGCACCAGTGGAAAAACTATAATGCTTGTTGGAGCTACAGGATCAGGAAAAAGTACACTACTTGATGGAATGATTAATTATATTTTCGGTGTTTCCTGGGACGATAATTTCAGATTAACAATGGTCGAAATGTCGGATGATGAAAAGACAAGATACACTGACCAGGTGAAGAATTGTAATCATAGCAATGATCATCAATGTCTTGAGATATTTGTGTTTTAAGAAATGTTTTATATGAACTACATTATTTATGTCTTTAATATATGTCTAAAGACGCAAAATTGTCTTACGATATATATCTCAAGTAATTGATGACAATTCGCTATATAAATAATCTATATTCTAATCCACAAACAATGTTTAACTCTTCCCAAGCAATTTCTGTCAGGAAATTGGAACAATTAATGCTAAAATCGCTCCTTTTCTCTACATTATTTAAAGTAATACGTATGTCCCGTGAGATGATTCAGCGAAAACTTCTTTTAACAAGAAGTCTCAAATTATAAGTGATGTTTATACTAACATATGACATAACAAGATTTGTTTTTACTTTTTCGTTTAGTCTTTAGATCAAACAATTCCTTAATTGTAAGTTTTATATTTTTATCTTGGGTAATCTTAAATGAAATTAACGATGAACGTGCAGTAAAAGTTCTAATGTATGACAAGCCGTACTCGTCAAAACTATGTTTAAGCCGTTTTTTCAAGAAAAAAATACTGAGAACAAACACTTATAATTCTAAGTGTTTTTGTTTAAAGTTGGAATGCTTATTCTCTGTGTTTAATTTAAAAAAAAAATGTTTAAGCATAGTTCTGACGAGAATTGATTGCCATACTAATGTGTAACGAATATGATTGCTATTATACTGAACATTGGATTATTCATTTCAGACTCAGTCACAAACTGAATGGATCACCAGTTATACTATAAGATCAATGAGTGGAAGTAATCTAGATTATGATTTACAAATAGTAGACACTCCAGGTTTTGGAAATACTCGTGATTTGGTCAGAGATATAGACATCGTAGATAAAATAAAAGAGTTCTTTACCACAAGAGAAAGTCAAGGAAAAATGTATTTAGATGGAATATGTTTTGTTGTGCAGGCACCACTGGTTCGATCGACACCCCATCAGAAGTATGTCAGTAATTTTGACGCAATTTTATCCTTATTTGGTCAAGATTTTGTGAACAACATTTTCGTCTTGGTAACATTCGCGGATGGAAACGAACCACTTGTTCTTGATGCTTTACGAGATGCAAAAGTGCGTTTCAAAAGTTTTTACAAGTTTAATAATTCCGCACTTTTCGTTTCAACACAAAGTTCACAACAATCAGAATTTGGCTGTCTTTACTGGAAAATGGGGATGGAAAGCTTTCGCTTATTTTTTGATGATCTGCGATGTACCCAGACTAAAAGCTTACAGTTGACAAAGCAAGACTTGCAACTTCGATCAGATCTTTAAGCTACAATTCAAGAATTGCAAGCTCAGATTCATGAAGGTCTGCATAAGCTGAATACTATTGAACAATAAAAAGTAATTCTGAGGAGACACGAAACGGACATCAAATATATCAATTTTTTTGTGCACGATTTAGACGATATTCACACGAGAAAAATAGATTTATCTGTTGGGACCTACGTAAATTCACACGAGAAAAATATATTATCTGCTGGGACCTACGTTACTTAATGTCTGACTTGTAACAGAAAGTGTCACTTTTCTTGTCGCATACCCGAAGACAGAAATAAAATAGACTGTGTAGCTATGAACGGTGGCCATTGTACTGTTTGTTACAAACACATTTCCTTAGATATTCATCTGATTTTCGTCACGAAATCTTTTCAGTAAAGGTAAAAAAGTCTTGTGAACAGTTAAATCGAAAATATTTGCTAGCACGAATTGGTAAAGAAAAGCAGACCTCTGTTCTGAATAAAGTCAGATGTGCATTCATAAAACTCTACCAGAACGTCTAGAAAATGATGAATGATCTTCGTTGTTCCTGTATATAAATAAACTGAACAAAATAGCACTGCGACCAAATCTACTGAGTGATGTTGATTATATTGATCTTCTAATCGAGAATGAAAAAAAAGTATGGATGGAAGGAACGTTAAAATGTGAGAGGAAGCAGAACTAGTAACAAAAATAGAGAAAAAGTAACATTTCACCCTTTTTGTGATCTCAGCGACTTCTAAATTTAAATATTACCACATGGCAAGTTTTTTTCTTCTAATAATGACCAAAATGCATAGTGAATGGACTGGTTCAAATTGATTAAGAAATTTTATTAAACAGATTTTGAGCCAATAGCAGAAATATTTTTTTTTATTTTTGACAATGTTCGGATTTGAAATTCATGATTTATGGAAAAAAAATGGGTATAGGAGTGGATGTTGTATTGAAAGATGTGTGGTGCCGGTATTGCATTAAAAACACAATAGAAAGCGGATTTTGCGGGAAGTGGGAATACATTTTGTCATGCTTGCGGTTCATTTAGTTTAGCTGATGCTGTTAAGCTTTATATAAAAATTACTATGATGTATTACAAATGTCAACACACTATAATGCATCTATACAATTAGTAATGGAGTAAATAATTCTAGGTTGCATGCTCATAGGCAAAACTTCATTTCATGAGCTTATTTGGTTAGTATTCTGGGTTCATTTTACTTTTGGTTATCAAATTTTGGAATCAGGAAAATGGGCTTAAAAAGTATAACAAAAATACCACACCAAGATAAATTGAACAAGGGGAAGTCCATAAAGTCAAACGTTATTAACCAACAAATCGAATGGAAAACAATTCATATTCCTGATTTGGTACAAGCATTTTCCAAAAAAAAAAAAAAAACTGATTCTATAGCCAGCTGAACCTCCCACTTATATCACAGGGACTCGGTTAGCAGATTAAAATTTTGTTAATCAATGTTTTTGATTTTTTTTCGCATTCCCTGTCTATTTGTATTTCATTATTAACGATTTTAACGTTGTCATCAATATTTCTTTGTTTTCTAGCAATGTGCAGTTTTACTATTCATATCCGTATACTGAATATGATTGATTAACAAAATTTTAATCTGGTAACCGAGTCCCTGTGAATTTGACCAAGACGTTAACAAATTTTTTTTTGTAGTTGATGGTAAATTGACAAAGACGCAAATAAAAATGATTTTGTGGTGGATAGAACCTAGAGTTTATAGTATACACTTTCTCGGTAAAGTACAAGTTAAGTAAAAATCGCACACCAGGATCTACCTGCACCCGGAACGCACAAAGCTAAAAACAAGATAGCTGGATGCATACATACGTAGTCATGTCAAGAGTCATACGACCAAAGGGAACACAAAAGCACAAAAAAAAATAAAGGGAAGACTGTAAAGTTAATAAAAATAAACACAACTTCAGCACATAGAATCTATATACCTCTTGTATTATTGGTGAAGTAGACACTGAATATTTATCTATAAGGTCTTGGTACTTTGAATTTCTGGTTCAGCTAAGTAAATTGTTGCACAGAACTTAGTGCAATAAAGATTATTCAAAATAAATTCTGGTTATGAGTTATCTTCCATACAAAGCAGAATGCTTCCAATTACATATCTCTCTCGTGAGTTTAACCAAACCATTTAGATCTGCAGTTTTTGTTCTTCCGCCAGCGGGATTTGATTGATTGATTTCTTTACGATTATTAAAGTTACACCGAGACTTGAACCATTGCATCTTCGACATCGTTTCAGCACCTCCTGCACTGTGTCCATAAGTATAGCTTTCGTAAGTCGAGTAATGCCTTTCGTCGTCGACTTTATCTGGGTGACTGTTGATAAGACATTAAAATCATTCGACATACTAAAGTTTTCTACCCAAGGCATAGATAACCTTAGCCAGAGTTGGAACAATATTTTGAAAGTTTTTGTTTAAAGTGCTTTTCAAATTTCTAAACGATTTGAACTTCGAACTGTTTAGATGAGTCTTGTGTAGAAACGCGCGTATGGCGAACTAAATTGTAAGCCTGGTATCCTTGTTTTTTTTAACACAGTAGATGATATATTGTGGTATTAAGATAGCAATCCTTGGAAATAAGCTAGTTGGCCGGATGAGCGGACGGGCGGGAAAAACTAGGTGCCTTTTTTGTAAAATCAACTCCTGAACTTTTCAACTAAGATCTGAAACTTCACTAAAACATTGCACACGTGTTAAAGTTGTCGATTGTTTTAGAAAGGATGTTTTTCTCCATTTTCCCAAATTTGGGAAGCAAACTTTACGAAAGATGGTACCGGTTTTGTTTAAACAACTCCTCCTACAGTTTTCTGCCTAAAGCTGTGAACTCCAAATAAAAATTGCGCACATACTTGAAATATGCACTACTAAAATTATGAGTTTTCTTTTAACAGCAAAGCTTTCAAATTGTGTTTTCAGTCCAGATTTTTAGGACTTGAAAGATTGTAACCCAATAAGGGTTGTGCAGCTTTCATAATGGAATTGTTCAAATATTTTAAAGAGCTTATTATACCGATTTTCGTGCTTCTTTTCTTTTCTGGGTACACTTGGGTATAATGACTTAACGTCTTTGCAAAATATGATGCAGTTTGGAAGTAATTGTTGAAAGTCCGTTGTGTCTTATATAAACAAGTTGAATGTCAGCCAGGTCAACATCTCCAGCTATACCAACAGCGGAGAGATTACTTATATTTGAAATGGTTCTAAGTTGTCACTATTTTGATAAACTTTTGAATTTGTTGGTAATGTCCAAAAATTTACATCAGGATTAACTAAATACAGTGCAATTCATTTTTTAATTGATCACCGTTTAAACATTATTTGCTAACTTCGTGACTCTGCTTTGCGTGTTAGGTCTGTTTATGTAGAACTATCCGCAATTCGTTTTTTGAATATGCATTTTAATGTAAAAAAAACTAAAGCCGATCTTTTTGTCTGCTAGTCGAATACTAATTGATGGATCATCCAACTGATCATTCATTATGTTTTCTTCCGAACGAGTGATGCTCATTCTGAAATACCACTTCACCGTTTTATAACATCGCCTATGACCTCCTTTTTAAAACTATTTAACAAGTTATCATAATTATCCTGTTTCAGACATAAACGTACTGGTATTCAAATTCGTTCAATTCTTCTGTATACAAATCATCTGTTTTCATCAGTTAGAAAAGAAGCCGTTTAAAGAAAGTTTGAATGAAGCAATTATAAATTGATTATTTCGGAAACGAAATGATTATAATTTGTACTGACACGTCATAAAATGATATTGGAAAGCTGATAATTGATTTGAAAGCGCGGGGTTAAAAGATCCTGAATGATGAAAATGTTTTTTACTTTACTACAAATGAATTAAGGGAATTGGTTAATCACATTTAACTCCCTTTTCAAGACTATTCACGATCTTCCGGCAGAGAATCATTCCAGTAATAGTTCTGTTTAGCAATATGACTTTCACACGATGTTCTATATTAACATAGGGACTTTCATGCGAGGTTCTGTTTAACGCAAGGGCTTTCACACGATTTTCTCTTTTAACACAATGACTTTCATACGTCATCGATATTTTAGTCGTGTAATATGAAGTGCTGCTAAGGTAAGGTTGTTTGTTACATCTCATATGTGCCCATTAAGTCGTATGATGAATGCTGCTTATACTCAGCAACATATTAGCAATAGCCGGGACATTCTAAAATGTCAGTGATATTCCAACTTTTGTAAGACACTTTGCATTTGTATTTTGTAGTTCCTCTGTGTGGCATTACTTGTGAATATTGACGAAGGTAGCATTTTCAGCGTTTGTTTCTACCATAGAATCTCTCCAGAAGCAACATTACGCTCGTTACCAGCAAACTGAGCATGACTGTGGGGGAGTGGTCAAATAATCTCCATGGAAATGAGATGTGCCTGTGCTAGTTTATATGCATACCAAATATCATTGACCTACAACTAGTGGTTCCCCATAAACTGACCTAATCACAAACTAATACATGTAAACTAAGCAAAGTTTCAAAGTCAATAGACCCTGACTGAGGGGGCTGTGTCAAATAAACTCCATAGAAATGAGATGTGCCAGTGCTAATACAACTGCATACCAAATATCATTGACCTACCACTAGTGGTTCCCCATAAACTGACCTAATCACAAACTAAATCATTGTTGACGACGCCGCCGCCGACGCAGGAAACAGCATACCTATGTCTCGCTTTTTGACTACGTCAAGGCGAGACAAAAACCAAAACAAAAGGACAACGATGTATTGGTTATTCTTCATCTGAATGTAAAAATGAGACCTTCAAAACGTAGAAAAAGCTCACACCTTACTGCAACGCCCACATGACCTGTAGTCCGGTTTGAATAGATTTCTTTTCAATATGTGGACAGAGCTACATCTGTGCATTGAATACCATAGGTTCAATTTTTTATTAAACGGTCAAATAAAACCCAACAGTGTCTGAATTCTAATTGTGAAATGGAAACAATATAAATGAAATCAAACAATCAAAAGATGCACTTAGATCATTTTTAAAATTAACTTGACAGAGAGTCACAGAACATAAGATTTGGACAGATTGAATATTTCGATAAACATATACAGCAAAAAACTAGAGCAGTAGTACACGTAGAAGAGATTATCTCAGAAACTCGGAAATATCAATTGATATAATATTTTTTTTAACATTATGTCAAACAAGTTTAATTCTGGTATATTTTGAGATAAATTCAATTCACTAAATTTATAGTTTGAAAGCAATAGAAACATTTTTATTTTGTTTTCTTGCACTGAAATTGTCTACAGTTTGTATAATAGGCATTGCAAAAGATCGTGGCTGTATTGTTATGACATTGTTTGTATGAAAAATTACAGGAACCGATATGTAAGGGTGTAGGTTGACATGAAGTAATATCTGGTAAAAATTATTGCATACTATTATAAAACTGTTTCTTATCCTATGACCGAAATTTCAGTCCTGTTGACATATTTGTAGATCTTATACTGCTGATAATTTTTCATTTTAAAGTTTCTATTTATCTATTATAGTTGTCAAGATAAAAAGACAAAAAATGCAAAAAAAAATAATAAAAATTATCATTAAAGTGCAAGAACTCCAATAACGAGTCGACTGAAGAATTCGATAATTTGGCTTCTATGTGAACCTTTTCTTGCTGATCATTTGTGCTATCTAAAGTTTCTATCCATCTATTACAGTTTTCAAGATAATGGACAAAAATGGGACAAATCGTCATTAAAAGGCAGTTACTTCAAAAAGGAGTCGACTAACATTTTCGGTCATGTTGACTTTTTTGTAGATCTTGTCTTGCTGATCCTTTTTTCCGATTAAAAGTTTCTTTCTATCTAATACTGTTTTTAAGATGTTAGGCAATATAGCAAAAAATGATAAAAATCGTCATTAAAGGGCAATAACTCTGATAAGGAGTCGACTGAAGATTTCGGCCATGTTAAATGATTTGTAGATCTTGTCTTGTTAATCATTTATGCTATTTAAAGTTTCTGTCTATATATTATAATTTTTAAGATAATAGGCATAAAATGAAAAAAAAATCATCATTTAAGGACAATTACTCCTATAAGAAGTCGTCTGAAAGTTTTGACTTTAATAAACAATAGGTAGAACTCAACATTCAAAACATTATACCCCTGTCGGATTGTCTCCAGTTTATAGTGGTTGTAATAATAATAGGCACAGCTTGCATTTTACCCTTATGTTCTATTTTTCGCCATGTCGACCATTCTATATACATTTCTTAATCTAGATACCCTATGATGATTGTGAGTTTGGTTAAACTTGGCCCAGTAGTTTCAGAGGAGAAGGTTTTTTAAAAGTTAATAGTGACGACAGACAACAACGACGAACGCCAAGTGATGAGAAAAGCTCACTTGGCCTTTTAGGTCAGGTAAGCTAGAAAAAGGGGGAGGGTTGAGATCTCAATACAATAGTTCAACCCTGCCACAATATATTCATAGGCCTGTCTCAACTATGAACCTAGTACTTATGAACACATCATTCATCTTTGACACATTATTTATAGAATGATTTTATACCGTGAAGATTAATAAATTTTATAGGTATATTATCTATGTCAAGTAAACTCATCATATATACCGAAATTAATTTTGTACGCCAGACGCGCATATCGTCTTCAGAAGGCTCATCATGTTATGATCAAGGATTTAAGTTTTCTCCAAACGGCATGAAATTTTGATCTGATGTTTTAGCAATAAGCTCAGCTTCATCTCGAAATTTACAAAACAGTTTACATCTATTTTGCCAACCATTCTTCCTCTCAGTTTTTTCGTTCTCGATCAGTATATCAATATACTCCACGTCGCTTAATGGGTCCTGTCGCAACGCGATCTTGCTAAGTTTATTGATATGAATACGAACGTCATTGATTATGACCATAACCGATTTGCTGAGAAATGAGAATGCGCATTTAACTCTATCTAATGTTGACCTCTGCTTTTTTTCTTGTTCTTTTGCAAGTTTATACTTTTCCTTTAGATTTTCATACGTTTTTTCAACTTGAACACTATATGAAATGATGCGAAAATCATTATTTACATGCATTTTCCAATGGCACCGGTTGGAACACACAGTGCAGTAATTGTCATACATAACGCTGCATTTATGTTTCTTTTCATCATCACGGACATGACATGGAAAATGACATGTACTATTGCATGTTAAACAGTTGGTCACATATTGCCTCGGAGGCAAAGATTCTTTCTCCATTCGGATCTCATCCACAGTGTAAGTGAAATTTCTATTATTTTCAATATCAGTTTTGTGTTTTTCCAATATTTCTTCTTCTTGACGAATAGTGTTTAATTTATTCAATCCTTCATCAAGTCGTAATTTTAAGCCTTGTACGGTTGCTTCAAGTCTTTGTCTAGTATCCAAAACTTCCGCTGTGAGTTGCAAACTTCTTGAATCCGCCATAAGTAATTCCTCGAAGAAAACGCGCAAGTTCTCTTGTCCCATTTTCCAAAATAGTTTTCCAAAGATAGCTTCTTTGTCATTTTGAGGATTTGAAAACAAGGCAGAGTTGTTAAACATAAAGTATTTGTTATACGGTACATTAGCAGCTTCTAACGCAGCAAGAACTGGGGGTGCTTTACCATCGGCGAATGTAACAAGAACAAAGATATTGCTAGCAATATCTTGACCAAAAATCGAAAGAATGGAGTGAAAGATATATTTTTGTGGTGGGGTTAATCGTGCCAGTGGTGCTTGAGTGACAAAACACACTGCATCAATGACAGATATTCCCAATTCTCCCGGGGTGGTGAAAAAAGTTCGCATTTGGTCGACAATTGCTTTGTCTCTTGTAATTCCACGAGTATCACCAAATCCAGGGGTGTCAATAATATTGATACTGTAGTTGATATTGCTTCCATTCATTTGATGAACAGTATAGCATGAAATCCATTCTGTTTGAGACTGTTCCTGTAAAAGATGTTGACAGTTAGCAGAACAATAATGGTGGTATGAAGGACTGGGCGTAGGCTCTAATGGAAACATGGAGAACTTTTTCTAAAAAAAATCGATTTTTAAACATGCGCGAAGTTAGAAATAAATTGTATGATATGATTTATATACACACAACATGTGTTAATAGATTAACGTTCACCAGGTTTGCACGCCACCAAATGTTTAAATAGCAAAATCTATTAAACTTTGAGCATAAACATCAAAAGGGCATAAAAAGAACATCCAAACCTGCCTGAGGGAGCTGCAAAATTGGTTTTAAATAAATTACATAGATTTAAAAGGACTGGTTAATGAACGATTGATACCCTAGTGGATTGAAAGTCCACCACCACCAATGCATATAGTGTCATAAACAACACTATGATATGATGTTCGTGTGAACAACACATGTCTCGTGACTAATATTGATCAGATATGCCCAAGAAGAAAAATTATGAAACAAAATTTATCATTTAAATCATGCATATGCCAAAAACAGTTGTAATTAAAAATTAATAGCTCATAACAACAAATGATTCGCTTTCAATTGCAAGTAATATAAGATTCTGGTTCAAAATACAATATTTCTAAATATTAAGGTGATAGTACTAGTATGCGAGAAGGCGTACAGTTTGATAGGCATTGTTATCAAATTACATTGGATAGTAATAACTACTTTACATCTCTTTTTTTGGCTGAATTTATATGAATTATTTTAACGTACGCACTCTTCAAAGATGCCACGGTTTCCACCCCGAGGTTATCACCTGCCCAGTAGTCAGCACTTATTGGTTGACATGAATTATCATTGATAGGGTCATTACTATAAATGAACTGTTTACAAAACTTGGAATTTTTCGAAATACTAACGATTGCTTACTCCAGGAATAAGCTACATTTGCTGTATTTGGTAAACTCTTTCGGAAATTTGGGTCATATATGTTCTTCTTTTTCGTACTCTAACTGTCCTTTTTAACTTTTTTCCGTCGAGTGCCATTGATGATTCTTATGTAGACGAAACTCGTACTGTGTACAAAATTTTACTCTGTATTCTATGATGAGTTTATATATCAGGCTCATAATTTGTCGCGTCAGACTTTTGTTTACATAAGATCCAATAGTGACGCTCGAATCAAAACAGTTTGAAGGCTTAATTTAATAAGAGGTTGGAGGGCATTGAAAACTCAATATTCTAAAAAGTTTTTTTAAACCTGCTTGAAGCTTGAAGACATCTTTGGTATCATTGATATATTAGGAGCAGTACATCTACAGAAAAAATAATCACACCAATGATATTTCATGCTATCATACGATTGTGTAATATTGTTGTTGTTACTCTTGATGACGCAACGTCCATTAGCAGATAAATAGAGTACTTTTACAACCACTACGGTTGTAAAAATACTCATCGTGAATGGCATTAACTTTAAAGAAATATAATGAGGTTTGTCTTCGAATCATAGTTTTTATTGCCCAGGCTTGATATTTTCACCTTTTTTTAGTTAAGAACGGCAGCTATCTTCAGTAAATACCTGTTTGTCTTCTTTCATTTTTTCATCGTCTGTCAAATCAATAATAGTGAATCTAAATGTATCATCCCATGCAACATTTGTGATGTAATTCACCATAGCATTGATAAGAGTCGTTTTACCAGATCCTGTAGCTCCGACAAGTAATATTGTTTTCTCTTGACTGAAACTGGCCGTTCTTTGTCCTTAAATATACAAATTAAAGAACATGAGGATTAATATATATTTTTTGATCAAGAGTCGCACACAAAACTTTTTTTTTTTATCTAAATCTAAAAAGAGTATGTGTTGGAAATTTATGACATTACAATGTGATTGACCAAAACATTTTGACCAAAAGCTATTATATAGAACATTCGGATTTTTAAAGATGCGATTCTATCTTAACATAGCTCCTCCTTTTAAAAAAAGTTTTTTTTTATGCCAGAGATAAGATATGATGTTCAAAATTGATTCATAGTGACTAAATTTGATTTTTTTTATAACTTGGGGGTAAAATTTACCATAAAAAAATCACAAATATGAAAAAATATCTTTCAATATGATTTCAATGAAATTAACTCATATATAAATAGAGAATGTGTCTATGGGCCACAGATACCCCGCTTGTAAATATGCATCAGTCAACTTCCACATACAGATGCAGGATTCACGTAGTTAAGACCGTTTTGTAATTGTAAGCATTGTGTATAAGTTCCATAACATTTGGTTGAGCCAAACTAAAGTTAGAGAACGGAAACGACAGATTTAGCAATCTTATCATTTATAAAGGGACATAACTCAAGGTAATAAGCATTGTGTATAAGTTACATAACATTTGGTTGTGGCAACTGAAACGAAAAATTCAGCAATTGTTATGTTTACAAAGGGGCATAACTCATGCACGGTAAAAGTGACGCCATCTATAGTAGCGGTCAGTTTTTATTGGTGTAGGAAGCCGGACTGCCAGGAGAGAACCACCTATCGTCGGCAAGAAAACTGGCAATCATAGTCAAGTAAGATTGGGGTCGACGGCACCTGCCCCGTGTTTGGTTCGAACTCACAACATCACTGTTGACAGGCTAGTGATACAGTAGATGGACTACTTAGACCAATTGGTCAACGAAGACTCTACGTTGGTGGAATACTGCTGCTCATGAACAAATCATAAACACTAACAGTTTTCATGAAATCTCCACATAACTTAACTTGAAAACAGTAGTATTTATGAGAGACCAGCAAATATGCGCATCGGAAAAGAACCATTATAAAAACTGACTTAATTAGCCTATGACACGTCGCCTGTAGCCCGTTCTGTTGAAAGATGTGAAACGTTCACCATAACATTCTTAAGTTTTCAATGTTCTAGTTTTGTTAACGGATTACGACAGCAGGTAGGATACGAAATATTATCAAATAGTATGTTTTAAAAGGAATCATTACATTTATAGATAAGATGCTGATAACGACTATTGAGTGTTTTGGAAAGTATTCAAACGTCTTTAAAGTAAAGTGTGTGTTAAATTAAAATTTGTATGCGTTTTTTTAACATGACGAAATACCAACATTATTTGCTTGAAATAGACGGACGCAGACATGAATTTTAGGTATACAAAAGGAGTATTAATTAACGCTATGAAGTGAACTGCTGAAAATCTGAAAATGAGCTGAGTAATCTAAGAATTAAAAAAAAACGACTGTCCGGGAACAAGTCGGATATATTACTAATGACTTGTAATTAAGCTTCATTCTTATTACGAACAAAAGGAACTATTACTTTAGGATTCATTTTGTGATCATCATTTAGTAAATATATCATGAATGGTAATATCATAGAAGATGAGAAGAAATAAATGGGGAATATGTCCATGGGACACAGATGATGCCCCCGCTTGCATATCATATAAAGTTATAAAGGGACATAACTGAAGAAAGGTAAAGTGACGCTACCCAAATTGTACTTGATCTGAGTTTTGTGGTAATAAGTATTGTGTATAAGTTTCATAACATATGGTTGAGGCAAACTAAAGTAAGAGAACGGAAACCAAAAATTCAGCAGTTTATATACGACCGCAAAAAATGTTTTGGTCGTATATTGGTATCACGTTGTCGTCGTCGTCGTCAGCGTCGTCCGAAGACAGATGATTTCCGGATAATAATTTTACTATAAGTAAATAGAAATCAATAAAATTTTACCACAAGGTTTATAACCACTAAAGGAAGGTTGGGATTGATTTTGGGGGTTATGGTCCCAACTGTTTAAGAAATAGGGGCCAAAAAAGGGGCCCAAATAAGCATTTTTGTAGTTTCCAGACAATAACTTGTGTTAAGATGTGTGAATCTCTCTGAAATTATACAAGTTTCCATACTACTAAGGGATGGTAAGGATTGACTTTCGGTGGTTATGGCTCAAACCATTTAGGAATTATGGGCAAAAAAAGGGAAAAAAACAAGGGTTTTTCTGGTTAAAGGACAATTGGGACAATTCAAAAGTAGTGTAAGGGAGGTAATCCAAAGCAATTTTAAAGAACAATGTTTGATTACCTCCTTTACACTGCTTGTAAATTATGTATTAAGAAATGATGATTGTCTTGAGGTGATTAGCTTTCAATTTATTTTTAGCAGTTACTATTAATTAATATTAATTTTAGCCATGATTATGTATGTCATTTTATATTTTAAGACTTTTATGATGTATTTAAATGGGTAATTATGGTTGCAAACTCCATTAGAAATTTGAAACTGACCATATCTTGAGGGAAAGAATTTTTTTTGGAATAAGGGAAAGGGGGGAGGTGAAAAAAATTGGAGGGGGGGGGGATAATTTTTCTCATTTCAGATTTCAGAAATTAAAAGAAAATTTCTTCAAATATCTTTTTTGGGTGTTAATATTCAATAGCATAGTGTATTGCACAAAAGCAAAAAACCGGGGTAAAATAATTTTTTTGGAAAGGGGGGGGGGGGGGTCAATTCGCAACATCATAGTGTATTGCACAAAACCAAAAATTGAATATAAATTCAAATCATATAACCAATTTGAAGTTCTTTGACTACAGTTATTCTGTGTTAGAAACCTATTATGTGTCAAAAATTTAATTACAATCCAAATTCAGACCTGTATCAAGCGTGAATATTGTGTCCATTTTGGCCCCAACTTTTCAGTGTTGGACATCTGCGGTCGTATCCAGCTGCGCTCAGCGAAGCAATTTATTAAATTGTCTTTTGATAAAAACCTTGCAGATATATTTTGACTGTGAAAGTATATGTATTAAATTTTCACACATGTCTTAATTGATGAAATATTATCTAAGAATATTTAACATTTTCTTAATTTAAAATCATCAGGCCAGATAATGCTGTAGTTGGTGATGTGTTGGTATTAACAAAACCTTTATGAACACAAGTAGCTGTGAATGCTTATCAATAGTTAGACCAACCAGAGAGATGGAACAGGATTTAACTGGTTGTATCAGATGATGATGTAAGGAAAGCATACCAAAGAGCTATGTTTAGTATGGCTAGGCATCTGGTCTATATACCAGCTTTGATAAGTGTTTGGTATTACTATAAAGTTTCACTTCGTACTATGAACATCAAAATTATTTATTTTGTAAAAATATTTCCTTTCTCTATTGGAACTGTACACGTATACCTAACAACTAAATTATTTTCATTTACCTGTGTTTAAAGTTATTGCAAATGGCTGATATTTTTGTTCGAGCATATTGTTTTTCTTTTATTGTTTAACATTTCATACCGATATAACATGTTACTTTTATTATTCTTCCCTTAGTTTATTTATTTTGTATTTACATTGTATCATAGGTCAAATTTATTTGTTCTGTGTATGTTCAATGGTGTTAATATGTCCTTTGATTGAGTTAAGCTATTTCAGTTGATATTTTATAGTGTGTCTTTCTATGTTGTGATGTTACACTATTGTTTCAGAAAAAGGGTGAAGGTTTGGTACCATTAAAACGTTTAAACCCGCTGCATTTGTTTGAACCTGTCCTAAGTCAGGAATCTGATGTTCAGTAGTTGTCGTTTGTTGATGTGGTTCATAAGTGTTTCTCGTTTCTCGTTTTTTATATAGATTAGACCGTTGGTTTTCCCGTTTGAATGGTTTTACACTAGTAATTTTTGGGGCCCTTTATAGCTTACTGTTCGGTGTGAGCCAAGGCTCCCTGTTGAAGACCGTACTGTTACCATATATTGATGTTTTCATGCAGACAGTGTTGTATTGATCCCAATACTGCATAGATGTCTGATGTTACCACATGACTTTTGTGTGTAAAATGAATTCGGACTATTTGGAACTAAAGTATTCTAAACAAGACCAATGGTTGTACTATGATAATGCATCCAAATGTAATGCGTTTGAGCAATGTAAGTAATAACCAGCATCCAAAACTCCCAGAAAAATCTAAATTTATATGAAAAATATTATGATTGTAAAGAATTGTTAGTCATATCTTCATCAAGGACTATATTTCATGTTTTATTTTGAAACATTTTATATTTCCACAGGTGCATAAATACAATGCTCATGGAGCCACAGATGTCACAGGATTTGGACTGTTAGGACATGCTAAAAACCTTGCTATGATTCAGAAGAACGAAGTGAGCTTTGTCATCCATAATTTGCCCATTATAGCAAAAATGGCTTCAATAAGTAAAGCCTGTGCAAACATGCTTGGTTTGCTACAAGGACATTCAGCAGAAACACCAGGTACTGTTTGTGGTCTTATTAGCATGGGAGGGTACAATAGGGGTGTGAGTGATTTATTTGATTTTAGTTAGATGAGATGTTATGCAGTAGATATAATATGCTTCTCAGAGAAAGTGACTGCTATCTTTTATATTTATGTAAGGGAAAAGAAATTTCCTGAGTTGTCTTTCCTTGACCAGTTCCATAACTGGTACTCTTAAAAATGAATACTTTTTATGCCCCCGCCGTAGCGGAGGGGGTATAAAGTTTTACCCTTGTCCGTACGTACGTATGTCACAAAGTTGGTTTCCGTTCTCTAACTTTAATTTGCCTCAACCAAATGTTATCAAACTTTACACAATGCCTATTACCACAAAACTACGATCAAGTTTGAGGTTTGGTGGCGCCACTTTTATCGTTCTTGAGTTATGCCCCTTTATAAATGGAAAAATTGCTAAATATTTCATTTCCGTTCTCTAACTTAAGTTTGCCTCAACCAAATTTTATGAAACTTATACACAATGCTTATTACCACAATACACAGATCAAGTTTGAATTTTGGTGGCGTCACTTTTACTGTTCAAGAGTTATGCCCCTTTACAAATGGAAAAATTGCTAAATTTTTCATTTTTTTTTCTTAAAATATCAATGATGTCATTGTTAAAGTAATTTTTATATGACCGCAAAAAAATTTGCGGTCCTATATTGGTATCACGTCGTCGTCGTCGTCCGAAGACATTTGGTTTCCGGACATTAACTTCAGTAAATGTAAATAGAAATCTATGAAATTTAAACACAAGGTTTATAACCACAAAAGGAAGGTTGGGATTGATTTTGGGGGTTTTAGTCCTAACAGTTTAGGATTTAGGGGCCAAAAAGGGGCTCAAATAAGCATTTTTCTAGTTTCAAGACAATAACTTGTGGAACGGTGTATGAATCTCTCTGAAATTATACCACAAGTTCCCATACCACAAAGTGATGGTTAGGATTGGCTTTGAGGGGTTATGGCTCAAACTGTTTATGAATTAGGGGCAAAAAAGGGGGAAAAACGAGGGTTTCCTGGTTAATGGACAATTTAAAAGCAGTGTAAGGGAGGTAATCCAAACACATTTAAAGTACAATGTTGTGTATGTTTGGATTTACCTCCCTTACACTTCTTTTAAATTATGTATAAAGAAATGTTGTATTGTCTTGAGGTGATTAGCTGTCAGTTTATTTTTAGAAGTTACTATTAAAGGAATATTAATTTTAGCCATGATTATGTATGTCACTTTCTATTTTAAGACTTTTATGATGTATTTAAATTGGTAATTATGGTTGCAAACTCCATTGGAAATTTGAATTGAGATACTGACCATATCTTGAGGGAAAGCATTTTTTTGGGGGGAAAAGTGGGGGTGGGATAATCTTTTCTCATTTTAGATTTCAGAAATTATAAAGAAAATTTCTTCAAATATATTTTTTTTTGCAAAAAAAAAGGGGGGATGGGGGGGGGGGGGGGTAAATATGCAACAGCATAGTGTATTGCACAAAAGCTCAAAATTGAATATAAATTCAAATCATATAAACAATTATAAGTTCTTTGACTACAGTTATTCTGTGTCAGAAACCTATTATGTGTCAAATATTTAATTACAATCCAAATTCAGACCTCTATCAAGCGCGAATATTGTGTCCATTTTTGCCCCAACTGTTCAGGGTTGGACCTCTGCGGTCGTATCCAGCTGCGCTCAGCGAAGCATTTTATTCCATTTGTAAAGGGCATAACTCTAGAACAGTAAAAGTGACACCACCAAAATTCAAACTTGATCTGTATTTTGTGGTAATAAGCATTGTGTATAAGTTTCATAACATTTGGTTGAGGCAAACTAAAGTTAGAGAACGAAAAAACCAACTTTGGGACGTACGCACGTACGTACGGACGGACAAGGGTAAAACTTAATGCCCCCTCCGCTACGGCGGGGGCATATAAATTAAAGGGTTCTTTGAAGAAGAACGTGTGCCGTTTAGAAAATGAATACTGGTTATTGGAAATACAGTTTTATTCAAACGTACCTTTATACGTAAATAATTTCACTTGAATTCAGGCCACGGCACTTCTTGTTGTATTTTTTTAGGAGTGTTCTAAAAGTTCCAAATGTCCAAACGTTTTTAAGAAATAAAGTTGCCTCATTTGCAATCATACCACATCTTCTTATTTTCATTCGTCTTGAAAATGCATGAAATATTTGCCACTGGACGTTACGCAACCAACAATCAATCTGATTTTTTTTGTTGCTTTCATACATTTTTTTTAGAATTTAGTAACATTAGTGCAATGGTTAGAAAATGTTCAATTTGAACTGTTGTTTTATTTGTATCTAAAATCATTTAACGGTCATAACAAAATAAAAGTATGCTAGTGTGTGTCTGTGTAGGTGTGTACGTGTTTGTAAAGTATTAATTGACATTGAATTACATACCAAGGATGCATTTTCTTGTTTTAACTGCAAAGTTTGCTGCTTCTGTTGGTATTTTCAGTGGCAGTTTGTATACTGAAGGTGATCCATCAGATATATTTTCTGCATCTAGAATCAGTTGGCTTGCAAGTGATAACGATGTAGACATTTTCACAGGTGGGCGGCTGAATGGACCTTCGTCCCCATTTTCGTTCAAAGGTCTGATCTTGAATTCATAATCAGTACCTCCAAGTAAATCTTGTATGGTCCATGTACAGGTTTCATCGTTTGTAACTGCAGAAATCCATTTTGAATTTTTATTGTTGCATTCTCTGTATTTTATTTCATATGAACTCAAATCTGGTATATTTTGTTTTTGAAAACTCCATGCTAAGGAAATAGAAGATGACGTTGATCTTAACTTAATCAGCATTCCAACATCTACTTCTACTGCAGTATCAGATTTTGATAGTTCCTCTGAAGAATTTGAAAACACTTCAAGTGTACTCATCAGCTTCTCTAATACTGCTAAAATACAGAGATAGACAAATACTTTAAAGGAAATGGTTGATCGTATGATTTGTGCACTTTTCATTTCCGTACACAAGTATTTTATATCAAACTACTAGGCATGCAACAGTTCGAGTAAAGCATCGTTCACAATGTTTACAGTCAATTTAAACCATATGAAACATTATTAATATATTGAACATTAAGTGTATGTAAAGTCCCATATCGTACGAGTCCATAGATTAGTTGTCCATTAATATAACAAAAAACGATCTGCCATAAACAGATAAACAGTATTGCAATAGAAACAAGGACTACTGACGAAGTTCCAGATCGAGGACATGCATATTAAGCTGGTTTTTTTTCACTGCATGTAAATATTGATTGAAGAAAACACCATTTTCCCCTCAGACCATCGTTTCAACCTTGTGCGACTTAACTCGCGGATTATGAAAAGTCTCAAGTATTACCAACAAATGATTGTAACAAGATGCTGTTACGAAGTCTCCCAAACGAAGCTCCCATAATTCGACATTCCCAGGGTCGCCTGACATTGGGCAAAGTCCAGTAAAAATTGGTTTGGTCCAGTTAAGTGATATGCATTAGTGACGCCTGGGGACTGACCGTATTTATCATTTAAATCTTCGAGACATGACATGACGAACAGGAATATATATGGTTTAGGGGTGGGGATCTCGACCATTTACAAGATATTAAAAAATTGGGGGTGGGGGGGAACCCCTTGAGACTGACCATATTTATCATTCAAATGTTCCGGACATGACGAATAGGAATATATATGGTTTAGGGATGGGGATCTCGACCATTTACAAGATATTAGAACTTTCTCAAATGGCAGGGGGTCGGGATGACCCTTGGGGACTAACTCTGTATATCATTCAAACCATCGTGGCATGACAAACCAGAATATATATGGTTTAGGGGGGATCTTGACCACTTACAAGATATTAGAACTTTCTCAAATGGCAGAGGGTGGGGGTGACCCCTGGAGACTAACCATGTATTTCATTTGATGTGCTTTATCATGACAAACCAGAATATATATGGTTTAGGGGGGATCTTGACCACTTACAAGATATTAGAACTTTCTCAAATGGCAGGGGGTGGGGATGACCCCTGGGGACTTACCCTGTATTTCATTTGATGTGCTTTATCGTGACAAACCAGGATATATATGGTTTAGGGGTGGGAATCTTGACCACTTACAAGATATTAAAACTTTCTCAAATGGCAGGGGGGGGGGGGGGGGTAAACCCTTGGGACTAAACTTTTATTTTATTTAATGTTCTTTATCATTTAGAATATTTTCAATTATAAAGAGTGTGTCTATCACTAACTGTTTTCAAGTTATAATCATTTGAAAATTAAAAAAAATAAAATCCCATAAGGTTCTATAGTAAACCCCTCCTTCCTTTGGATATATTGATGTTCTATTTATGCCATTTAGTTTCAAGAAATTATAGGTACCTAAATATTCTGTTTTTAGGAAATAAAGAAAGAATTAGTAGTTAAATAAAACATTTATTCATCGCCTTGATTTAGACGGATTTAAAGTTTTTTTTCACCCACGAAAAATCATTTCCATATAATCATTTTAATCTAAGTCTTCATGTCTCCCTCTGTCTAGGGAATGAATGTATAGTGTTCCGTTCTTAAAAACCCTTTAATTCGATCAGTGGGATGAAATATTGTACATTTATATAAAGATGCAGTCACACTCATTATAGAAAAAAATACACTTAACTCCCTCTATAATATCGGTATAATAACAAAACATGGGTACAAGTAATATTTCTAATTAATACCGTGAAAAAGTTCTCGGTTACAAGTATAAAATTTGCTGATATAGAAAGCGTCATCTGTTATATTGATGTATCGTCTTCTGTAAGTGTGAGAGGATTTTGAACAGCAACGTCGTGCACGGTGCAATATCAAATTTAAACGTGATTACAGAAAATAAAATCCAAAATATAAAAAAACCAAATGATCTCATATCACAATTTATTCAAAAGAAAGATAAGATATTACTTTGTCTTTTAAAATACCAAATATAGAGGCTTTATTGCTTATAGTATCTGAGAAATAGACCAAACCAAAAAAAACTGAACATTGGCCTATGAATCATGAAAAAGTTCAAGGTCAGATGACACCTTCCAGTAGGACATTTACATCTTACAATCATTCCATTCACCAAATAAAGTTGACCTTTTTATTATAGTACCTGATATACGGACGAAAATTTAACCTTGATCACTGATACATGAAATGAGGTGATGTCAGAGGAACCCTGTCTGACGGATATACAGACATTGCAAGGATCCCATAGACCAAATATAGTTATCCTGTTAATCATAATAATTGGAAATTTCACATGATAATAAAATTATACATTTTTTCAAACAGTCATGAAAATGAGTTCAAGTTTAATGGACATATGACAGACAGAAACTTATTATAATATAAGGTATCTGCATACATGATGATGATATTAATCATACATGGTAAATCTATAATGGTCTAATTAATGTGGTTCCTGCGTGCCATATATACAGGTCGTCTTCCTTCTGAAATACCAAGCTTAATACAAATAGTTTAAACCTTTGTACACAATTGTTTCTTGCATTTTGTGTTGCAGAATATTCATTTTCATCCTGTCTTATGCATGGTCATTTATTGAAATTGCAACGATATATTCAAATAAAATGAATAGAGTGAAATAATTTGGACACTTTAGTTCAAAAGAGTTATTTGTGATGTCACTATGAGGTCAAAAACATGTTGAAATTGGCTTATTTGACTTAAAAAGGCCAATCAAAATATAGGTTTTGGAAAGATTAGTTATTACCCAAGGCCTTTCTACGAAAAGATTGCTGAAAAAGTAAAGACTTTGAACAAGAAAAATATCAGCAAAAAATCACTTAACTCGGTTCATCGGGATCAAAATCGTTTGACAAAGTTATTTTTTACGTAAGGAGGAGGTACGATAGGAGCAATCATTTGAACCCTGAAATGTCAAAAACAGTGGAATTCTTAAATCATTGGAATATTTACTTACAAATTAAAAAGGTGATATTGATTAATTTTGACTCTTCAGTTCAGAATAGTCGTTTGTAATGTCACTTTGATATAAACATGTTGAAATTGACGTATTTGATCTAAAAAGACCATTTCATACATAGTTTTTGGAACGATAGGTTATGAGTTAAAACCTTACACAAAAGATGTTTCACCAACAATTTCATGTTTGTATATGACATTTTTTTTAGCAAAATATATTTTTGTGTAAAGTCTTGGCTCATATCTAAATATTCATGACAAGATATTATAAAAGGAGGCTGATTTGACGGATTTTGCAGCAATAACCTTTCAGCCCTGAAGCAAATATAGAAGACAAAATAAAAATAAAATATTCATATCTGACAGATTGTCTTGTGAACATCTGAAGATGAAAATAAAAGGGAGATGGAGGATGTAATTTTACAAATCTAAAACACATTTTGATTTTCGAATTAAAAGGACCAAAAAAGTCACCTTATTACACCGTCCCATTACTTAACAAATACTTTGGAACAACGAACCTACCGGTTTCTTGCACACTTTCATCAGGATTACATGTTTTGAGAGAAGCATCAGAATCGGTTTTGTCGCACTTAGCTGTTTGGATTGTTTTACAAACTTGTGCAGAAGCTTCACTTATCGCATTGGTTTTAGTATCAATATTGTCAGTTATGGTGTCCTTGTGTGTGTCTTTGCTTTCTTCTTGACTTTTAGCTGCAATGTTTAATATTTGCTATTAGTGCATTTTGGTTGTGTGACGCAGTGTATGAGTAGCGTGATATTTTAATTAAATACGACTACATTGGATTTGACACTCTAGAACAAATAGATTGGCAAAAAAAACATAAAAAAAACAACAAATAAACAAAAAATAAACTAAGAAACAAACAAACAAAAATCTAAACAAATAACAAAGCTACTTTTATTGGCTAACTACATTTTTTCACATTCACGTCTCGTATTTGTTGCAAGTACTCAAAGGAAGATAGTTGCAGTGATTTGATTCTTTACACCAACTTTAGCTTTGAAATGTTTTGACCACTTTTTGCATGTGAAATATATGAAAATATACAATTAATAAGACTGTTTGATATACTGTTGCTTAACGTACAATTAAAACTATTTTATACATTTTCTAAACGTAAACAAGTTAAATTATAAAATAAAACTGGTCAAAATATATTGATGAATGGAAACAAATTAAACTGACAATGATCTGTTAATGCAAGAATTCATTTGTTGAAGGGAGACTGACCGAAAATATCACCAGCTCAAAAGCCAGCGCTCCTGCATTGGTATGGAAAAATGTTTGATACAGTCATTTTTTTTAGGTTAACTATTTATAAAATATTCTAAACACCAAGTTATACCTTTGCATCCATTTCGTAGCGTCAAACCTTGTGCTGGTCCAGCCTGGTCATGGTAGGAACTGTTATTTCTTTTACGGTCAAAAGACTTCTTTTCCCATGAATATTCTTTAGGATAGTTTCCCCAGCCTAATTCATCCGGATAACCTCCCCAGTTCCCAGTGCTGACACGTTCTCTTTCTGGTCTATGCTGATCTTCCCAAGAGTTTCCTGATACAGTACGTCTGTCAAAATTTGTATAATTATGATTTCGATAATGATAATATCCCCGTTGATTTCTACAATCTCTATAATTGAAATCATTTCTATACATATCATGTGTATAATAATCTCCTCTCCCTCTTGGGTGTCTAGGATATACATATGTATCCCAACCTCCTCTATCATATCTTGGTCGTACACGCTGATTTCTATAGCCTCTTCCGTGGTGACTGTCTTCACGAGAATATGTATTTTCTCTGGTGTGTCTGTTCTGTTTATGTCGGTCATCTATTTCGTTTCCTCTTTCGTCATAAAAACATCTGCTGGAATTTACATCATATTACACAATAAATTTCATTAAAATCCGTCAATACTGTTTCATTGTTTAGTTTCAAGTTTGTATTCGGTGGTTTATAATATGTGTATAATCAGGACAAGAGAAAACAAGTTTGTATGTTGGAATAGGAGCAGGAAGTTACTCGATGTTTAGGTATTTAAAACATTTCATGTGGTCATAAATTTTACTTGAGAATATAGTATCCTTTACTGAAGGCTTTGTATTGACAGCTGTTTATAAGAAAATTTACTTCCAGAGTGAACTAGACAACTACAGGTCTGCAACTCTTTTCACAAAATATCTTACGATTGAAATTGATCGTAAGTTATACTGAAATGTGTATGACTTACGAGTATTTTTACTCTTAAGATTTTTTGTGAAAAGAGCCGCTGGACCTGTATCGCTGCATGCAATCGATTAAGGTAACATATATTGTTTATATACTGAAGCATAACTGATCATTTCCATTCATTGAATCAAAGAAAACTTTGACAACACTTTTCCTTGTACAATGAGTGTTGTAAAATTTTCAAACTATCGGTAAACAGGAAGTGGATGCACGGCAGATGTAAAAATGGCTTACACGCTACAACCGAACATTATCAGATGCAGACCAAATACAAAATCATTTCCTTCCATTGCATCCGAGAATAAATTGACGAACATTTTCATCGTACAATGAGTGTTGTTTAACATGTATTCTCTTATGGTTGTTGCCTTTTTTATCCTGCAATCAGCTAACTATTGTACAAATAACAGGTACACAAATAAATTTTTGCTTTATTTGTACTTGTACAAATAAAGTCTCCTGTTATCCCGCTTCCATGTTGAGCAAGCGGTAATGTGGATATTTCTTTTTGCTTTCCAGTTCATTTTGGGGTCCTCTTCGCGGACCGCGCTTAAACCATGTCGATTTCTTTGAAAAATTAGAGACAATGATTCAGATTTTAACAACTAAAGTTTTAAGTGTTGGGTGTAAATTTCAGGATAAAAACAATATATGTACATGTCGGAAAATATAAAATTTATTTGTACTCGCTACGAAACAGGAGAAAAGCTCGGCGAGCCTCGCTTTTCGTCCTGTTTCTAAAGCTCATACAAATAAATTTTATATTTTCCGACAATGTACATATATTGTATATATCTATTTCTTGCAGATAGAGATATTTCTCGTATCACACAGCGGGATTCGAGCTCACAACCTCACAAGCTAGTGATGCAGTAGTACGACTACTTATACCACTCGGCAACAGAGTCCCCCCACCCCAGGACAGATATAATAAATAGCTGCGCCATGAGCGCATGAAACGTCCGTCAGTCCTTTAGCTCGCTTTATGCTATAAATGAATTTATATGATCAATTAGAGTTACTGTGAGCACTGATCAAATATCCCCTTAAAAAAGCATACACACACAGTGGTGCCCATTGACACAAAACGACGATTTTTCAACGAATAAAGTTTCATAACTGTGAAATGTCATATCAGAATTGTATAAAAAAAAAATATAAGGAAGCTTATTTCACTACATCTAAAAAGGTGACCAAAGTTTCATGAGAACTGCTCTGATCGTTTTTGAGTTATTGTCCAAAAACTGGAAAATCACCCATTTTTAATGAATAAAATCCTATAACTCGGTAAAAATCGAAATGGATCTTACGTCAATAGATATAAACAGTTCACCAACGATTTATGGAAATTGGTGAAAGCGTTTTTGGAATCTTGTCCGAGGCGTTGACGACGGACGGACGGACTGAAGGACAAGTCGGGATGACGGACGGAGTCAAGCGGTTACTATACCTGCTTTCGCCGTTGTCGACGCAGGTAAAAACAATCATGCAACTTAATATATTTATTGTGGCCACCTATAGCCAAGTTCACTACTACACATATTATGATTAATCTCGTAACTGTAAACTGTAAAACAACTGTAAATCAACTTGTTTTCGCGTACAGCACATATTTGTTTTTGCGATTTTCTAACTGTGTTGACATATTTATATGAATTATAATCCAAGCCTCACATAATCAGGATGTTCTTTTCGCACTCGCGAAGGTCGCAGAAAAAGTTGAATTACAGTATGTGCAAAGACTAATAATATAATTTGAGATAACAACTGTATAAAGGAATTTACTAATGAAAAATCTGAGCTGAACTACTGCTATGAGCTAGTAAAAAAAGTCCCAAAAAACAAGAATTCACGGAATACATGTTCTGAATAAAGGAAAAAAATATAGTCAACCGTCGAAAATAAATTTGGAAGAGTGTCGTTAGGTTATTAAAGATGCTCTTTCATCCTATTGTAAAAAATGGTGTAAACGGGAGAAATCTGACAAAAAGTCACTTGATTCCTATTTGAATAAATGTCTCAATATTATTGACTTTCGCTTATCACATTTCGAAAATAATTTAGAAATAAATAAAAGAATATTAAGTAATACGCCCATTTCTAGGATTAAAAACAAAATTCAAGTACTCGCAAAGCGTTGTGTTTTCGTACCGGCCGACAAAGCAGCCAACAATATGGTGGTGGTATGACGTAAACACTACACAGAAGTCCTTAAAAATTAAATTATACAATCGTTTGAAGGTCCAAACTATGTATTGGTTACCTAAACTACACAAAAAACCCGTAAAATATCGTTTCATCTCGGCCTCTAGTTAGTGGTCTACTACTAGAATTTCAGTGCTTTTAACGAGTTCCTTAACTACTATCATAAAAACTGATCGTTAATTTTTGTAATAAAACGTATGAAAATAGTGGAATTAACCATTTTTTTAGTGTAAAAATTCTTTGGATGTTTTAGATAAATTGCGTGCTTTTGATGATCCTTTTGATTCGGTTGACAGTTTTGACTTTTCCACTCTTTACACTACACTTCCACACAATCTTATCAAACAAAAGTTTTCCTAATTAATTAAATGGTCGTTCGATAATCTAATTGCAAATGTATTTGCTGCAACTCATATAAAGCCTTTTTCTCAAACGAGAAAGGTAAATATGCTAGATATACTTACTGGAGGTGTGACGAGATGATTACAGTCATAAATTTTCTCTTTGACAACATTTATGTACGTTTCGGCAATAAAGTTTATCGACAGATTGTAGGTACTCCTATGGGCACCAATTGTGCCCCTTTAATAACAGCCTTGTTCCTGTACTGTTATGAATCACAAATTATGGCCAAACTCAATAAAGACACGTCTAAATTCCATTTAATTGATAAAATCAACAACACTGACCGTTATAGTGATGATATTTTTTCGTTAAATAATCAAGAATTCTCTAAATATACTTCCGAAATTTACCCACAGCAACTTACTTTAAATAAATCAAATATTAACAGCAATAAGTGTCCTTTCCTAGATTTAGATATTTCAGTTTTACACAAGAGACTCTACATAAAAATTTACAACAAAAGGGATAATTTTTCTTTCTCTATTGTTAATTTTCCTTTTTTTGGACGGTGGTGTTCCTCTGGTACCATCTTACAGTGTTTATATATCCTAACTCGTTCGTTATGCCCGTGTCTGTAGTGACGGTTTGGATTTCAATCAGCGTGATCTATGTATTACTGGTAAATTATTAAGTCAGGGATTTCGTTACCACAAATTACTTAAAACCTTTACTAAATTCTTCCAAAGATACAAAGATTTGGTTTGCAAGTTTGGCTGTACCTGTAAAAAACTTATTTCAGACTGAATAGCACATCCTTAATTTTACGGTGATGTTGTTTACCGAGCCATGAAATTTTTATAAGATCCGGGAAAATTTATCGATCTTTAAATAAACTTATTCTTAATGGTTACCAATTCAACACCGTAACAGTAATTAGATCTTTGAATATTGTTTTTATTGGTATAAATATTGATTTGTTATCAGTAAATTTCAAATCGTACTAATTGTTTTGTTATATACATATGCACTTTAACGGTACTACAATCTGTCGATCGTTTGTCATTTTGGCATTGCACAAGGTCATGTTTTTCTCTGACTGTTAATAGAGTCTTTACACTAAATCCATTGGATGTTGGATGTGTACTGATTGATATTTTACTCTTTGATACATGATTTTTTTTAGTTGTTATTGGCTTTGAAGTAGCTGTCAGTAACTGCCAGTACTCTCAGATCTGTACTTCGTGTCCTTTTTGTTGTTAGAGATGAGGGATGGAAAACTACCCTGCCACGTCCGGTCTGTGTTTATGTTTGATTTTTTTTCTGCTTTGTATCGATCTGAGGAGTTAACCCTTTTTCAACTGATTTTTATGGTTTGTTCTTATGTTGTGCTGTTACACCACTGTCCCAGGTTATGGGAGGGTTGAGCGCTCACAAACATGTTTAACCCCGCCACATTCTGTATGTGCCTGTCCCAAGTCAGGAGCCTGTAGTTCAGTGGTTGTCGTTGGTTCATGTCTGTCATATTTATTTTTCGTTAATTATTTTGTTATGAATTATACCGTTAGTTTTCTCATTGTTGAAGGCCATACGTTTGCCTATAATTGCTTGCATCCACTTTATTTGAACTTTGGTGGATAGTTGTCTCATTGGCAATCATACCTCATCTTCTTATTTTTATATCAGCATTAAAGAACATCCATATCACAAGGCCTAATAAGCACATGCAATTGAAATGTTACAAAGGCTTGGGGAAAAACTAAAAGTGTAATAAGGATCTACAGATTCATTTAACGTGTCATAAAATGTGTCGAAAGACTGAAAATAGGGCTATAAAGTAAAACTGCATCTTCTAAAGATTGTACTATTTTTTATGAAGACAGCACAGCACATAATTGTGTTATAAAATTTCCCTTTCATAAAATCGGTGACACTGTGTGTACACTGAATCATATTTGATAAACCCTATAATACAAATTTTGATGTGTGTTCACAAATTTACAATTAAGAATTTATTCCATATAACGATGAAGCAATTACAAAAAAGTGATGCACATGAGTGAAGCCTGCCAATATTCAATGTTGCTATTTGACCTACTGTTACACGTATGTAGCTATAGTTCTTTTCATACTGCCTGTTCATGGATGGAAATTCTCTCAAATGTAACAAAGAAATACACAGCATATTCTGGAGTTGCCTCCGTTTATAAAATTTTCCTAGTGCATTCCATATAATTTAGATTTCCCAAAAACACGGATTAAAGTAGAATTTACAGGTAGCATTTGATATATTAACTTTGCATTCTGAACGAAATGTCAAAAATAAGTATTTGTAGGCTTGTCATCTGTGTATCACCTTTTGTAGGATTTTAGTGGAGTGGTCTGGAGTGGTACATAATATACTGGTATGAACTATTTGATAACATTCCAAATTGGACAAAAATATGTTTTTTTTTCGAGATTCTTACCTTGATTCTGCCATCTTCTCAATTGTGCACTCTGTTCTGTAGAATCTACTAATAGATATAAAAATATGTTCTCTATTCTTAAAACCACCATCTTAGCATCTTATTTGATGTCACGAAAATGGAACCATAAAATAATCTTTATGCATAAAAGTAAACATCATGTATACGATATTGTATAAAGTGTTAATGTAAATAGATCAATCAGTACAAGAGAAATACTATGCTGTCTTTCTAGTTTGTGCTGTAGTTCAGCCTTTGTTTAATTTCTACCAATTTCTTCTGGAAAAAAAGGTGACTCCAACATGAGCAAATCCACCTTTGGGTTTTTTTGCCATCAACCTTGTGATCTGATGTTTCATTTCAAAAGGACCTGTGACATTTAAAACAGTTTTAATGTTAATGACGAACCGGTCAATTTGCTTACATGTAATATGGTTACCTGAGGCAATTTCAAACGTGATATTGTGACCTAAGGGGAGTACTCTACTGGAGCCCCCAAAAAAAGGAACAATACGTATCTAGAAAATACGACAACCTAATGCTTTCTTTTTACAAACAGATCATCGTGTAGACTTTTTGATTACCTTTGAAAGGCAACATTATGCCCAGGATCATTTGAAACATCAGTAGCAAGTTCCTTTTCTCAGTTCAGAATGTAGTTAGCAATGCATGCGGAATGATACAGATCCTTTTCCTTCGTTGAAGTTATCTATGGAGATTAATCATACCATTTCGTAATTGGACTGGCGCTCTGGGCCATTAAAATTTTGTTGGCACGATCAGTCGACTCGAAACGCCTTGTTTTTATGTTTTTTTGTCTACAGATTTAAAACATTGGGACCAATTTCATTGCAACACTATGGAGTGTATTGTACACGCTGTTGAACATTGGTCTTTTCCATATTCTAATATTTCCAAATGAGTTTACTTGTATAGGATTTATAACACTACCTAAAGTAGTTTATTCGTTCTAAAGGAATTATTTTGGTTGAATTGATTTCGTCAAAATGTCGGTGAGAAAAACATTAAAACCATTAAGATTTGCAAGTGCTGCTTAATCAAACCAATCATGGGTCTTTGTAAAATTTCTATGGCTGGATGCAATTTATTTATGTTATATTTAAAAAAAAAATCATCTCAAATGTTTTATATCTTAAAAAAATTAGAACTTCTACATATATGATACGGAATGGTAAACATTTATCTAGTCCATGAGGTACGAAATGGTAGATAAATTTGGCGCATATGGTACGAAATGGTTTTTATAGTGGGTACGAAATGGTAAAAGTGGGGTACGAAATGGTAAATGTGGGGTACGAAATGGTAATTTTGGGTACAAAATGGCAAAGGTACGAAATGGCCAAGGTACGAAATGACTTGCTACCCCTCGAAAAGAGTAGTTTTCCCTTTTCCGTTGCATTTGACAAATTTTCATAGCCAGAAACTTGACAAATTATGCATAATTCCCAACAAATCTTGAATGCACACTTTTTTGGCACTGAGTGAGCAAATTTAACAGGACTGCCTAACATTTTCTAGATTCATTCGGTAGTCTTCCAATGTGGTTTGAAATTAGTCTATTAAAAAACTCAACAAGAAAATAAATACCTCAAAAGCTACTAATACATAACAACTGTACTTATTCGAACATTCAGACACAAAAATGATACTTATAATTCTTATTTACAAACTTCAAGAAATTACAAAATTCAATTTATTGTAAAAAAAACTAGCAAATCTTGAGAAAGGAGAAAATAAAAGGGACGCAACATGACTTATTGAGGTAAAAATTGAACAGTAAAACTGCTGGATGATGAGTTTTATAAAAAGGCCCGTAAAAGTTGATTTGTATGTTCTGTCAAACTTTGATATATTGTTTGTCAAATTCAACTACGGATGATATATATATGTAAGACAATAAAGTCATATAAAACGAGTTTCTTTAAATTTTAATGTTATCGAAATTATTGAACCAATGCATGCATATATACTAAACAAAGTCCTGTATGCACGTTTTTTTTTTATAATTATTACGAATCTATAACATATTATCGGATCGTGACATTGAAAAACAATCCACACAAAGCACGTGGAGCTCGTGACAAATAAGTGAAGTGAAAGAGCTATAATAATAATTATATTTGTTTTAATATGCATTTTCCATGCGTTCCCATTTTTTACTTAAAATTTTCTTAAACAGTTGTTAAATGGTTTGTTGTATTAGATTTGTTCTTTCATAGTCAGTTATTATTATTTACCTTCCAGTACACGTTTGTTTACATTCTTTCATCACGGTTTTCCCCTCGCACTTGCGCTGTGCGGTGGCCGAAGTGCTAACGAAAGGTCATGAGGTAAGGTCACTGCATACGGGAAAATATCGGCGAATTGGTGTACAGGGGCCATGTCAATGAAAGTATCCAAAGATATGTCCTAAGATATGTCTTCGAACATTATTTAGGATGGTCTTAGGACGTGTCTGAGACAGGTCTTAGGATGTAAATCAAAGCTATCATAGGACAGTCCTAACTATGATTGTCCTAGGACCATCCTAACACATTTATTTTATTAATAGAAATATGCAGAGAATTAAATGAAATACATTTTAATGAATTTCAGTATATATGTAAAGGGCGGGATGTTGAATCTTTTATGAAAAAAAGAAAAAGAATTCACGCAAAATGAAGTTTTAACTATAGGTACCTGGGGACATGACAATTTATTTTGCCCCTTTTTTCCAATATCCGTTATTTTTTTTTCTATTATTTTCAATTATTTTCGCGAATATAATAGAAAACAAAAAAATAACGAATTTTGGAAAAAAGGGGGAGGGCAAAAAATTGTCCTGTCCCCAGGTACCTGTGGTTTTAACGTAATATCAATAGATACATTATTATGTATTATCAAAAATGATAAATAAATTTCAAACAAAAACTTAACTAAATTGCCACAAAACTTTGGTAGAGGCTATTATCGTGCTGTAATTTAAGCTATATAAACTAGTGTTGTCCTTAGGTCCACTCGATTTCATTACATGTATTGAATCAGCCTTAGTAAGAAAAGTTGTTCAACTTTTTCTGAAGCCGAAATTCAAATGTTTTCCCCATTCTAATAATTGTTGTACCATTTGGTCAGGTACAAAAAAAAAATGTTGCTTAAATTGATAGAATTTTTGAACTTCAAAAAAAGGGCAGCACGAATTATTTTAAATGAGCGTAATAATAAGACATTTCAAACATACTTTTTGGAGATCTGCGATGAATGCCCATTTCAGAACTTTAGAATTTTTTTTTAGATATGTGCATCGGGTTAGTTCTAGAACAACCAGACAAAGTACTTGTTATATGCTTATTATTCCAAAAACTAAAGCTATTGCATACTATAAACGCTCTTTGTTGATATCTGGAAGTATTGTATGGATCAAATTTGTCTTCAAATTTTAAATAAAGTAACACAATTGAAACTTTAGAAAAAAAAACATATATTGAAGAATATTTTGTTTAAATAAAAGTTAATTCTAATAACAGTATCAAAGTTTATTTTTTGGATTAGCATTTTTAATATTCGATTTAGGCCATATTTGTTGTTTTTATTTCGACTTAGAACATTGTAACTTTTAGGACTATCCTAAGACCATCTTAAAACACCTTTGTATATATCCTAACTTAAGGACCAAATTTAAGACATATCTTATCTTTAATAGGAGACTTTCTTTAACCTGACTTAGGACTAAGACCTGTCCTAAAACCATCCTTAGACACGTCCTAGTCCTAAGACAGCTTCGCTGACACGGCCCCGGGAAGACAATAATTCAATATCAGTATATTTATGAATAATTAGATGATATAAAGGCTTTTCTTTCACAAGAAAGTTAACGTACACTTGTTATATAATCGTCCAATTTATTCAATAAGTTTAAATATTTAAAGCTGATACATTGCTGTTTCATTTTAGAGCACATTTTTGCTGATATCCTCCTTCGGGAACTAATTATAGTCGTTCCTGTGCACCATGGGAAAACAATACGAAAGGGCTAAAATAATAATATATGTTTACCTTATTCTTATGTGGATTTTCAGCCATTAGTTATGATTTGTCCTTGTACCATTTAGACACACGAATTAATGATGAGGTATTTAGTAACTACCTTTACTACTCATAATATAATTGCATCTAACATAATCGATAACGCGGGTTATCGCCACATAACTGTAACGTGCCCAAATGGTCAACTCTTTGAACTGAAACATTTTACCATACGGTAAGTTAACTGAAAAGTCCTTTTGTAATTTCATTCTTTAACACTCAACAATAATTCAAATATCATTCAAATATCATTATGCTAATTTATTCTAAAACAATCACATTTTTAAATATGACTTACCAATTATTCCGAATATAGTCGCTTTTCCTAGTACTTCTTCTAGTCCATTTTTCTTTGGCAGTAGTTCAACATCATGCGTAGTACGGCGAATGTCACAGGTAATCTTACATCAAAAGTAGTCACTGGTAACAAACCATGAAAGAAGGTTTAAAATATCACATGGAAAATTTTGTGACTAAAAATAAACTATTATATGGAGATAAGGTTTTGGAAAATCAAGTTTCTATATTATAAAGGGAATGGAACAGCTGTCAAAGGTATATTTATCAATATTACTTACCATAAATATAGAACCACGAATACAAATAATAGAATACTTTAGAATATCATTTAAAAAATCTCAAAAATAAAGATACAAACTAGACAATAATATACTAAAGAATGCCCGCAGTTACTGTAAGCAATCTCAAGTAACTTAACCTGCGTATTTAGAAATCAAGTTAACTAATTACATCGTATATCATTGCGCTATGAAGCAATGAGCATTGCATTTTGTCTTGGAACCTTCCAAAGAAAATATTATATTCTATAAAAAATATTCAAGTATGGTAGCTTCTTTTCAGATCTTATTTTTTTCACTTTTGAATTCAAAAGTCTTATGATAGTTTGTAAGGTACAATGTAGTAGACGAGTTTGGGATTGAAAAAAATGAAAATATCGGCACAAAAACGTTAAAAATTTAATAAAAATGTGAAATTATATGTTATATGACTATATTTATCACAAGACAATGAAGCAGCAATACAAACAGCAGTAATTAACTTCTTTTTTAAACATAAATCAATGAAATCTTTAAACCAGCTCGTGGGTTCTAGACCGGATGAGGCCTGAAATGTAGAACTATATATAATACCATTAAAAGCTGTATGGCGAATGCGTCGGTTGTATTGGTAAACGAAAAATTCACCGAGAAAAATATTTTAGCTAGTTGCAAAAGGTTTGGATGATTTTTATTTTTTTGAAACAGATATGATTGCCAATGAGACGACTATCTAACAGAGTTAAGATAAAGTATTATAAAGCAATTAAAGGCCATCGAAAGGCCTTCGTCAATGAGAAAAAACTATTCCGTATAGTCGGCTATAAAACTCTCTCATCTTAACTAAGGAGAGACCAAGGAGACCACCTTTATGGCAATGCTTTGCTGTTGATAACAAAGATATAAAATTTACATCTTTATCAATCCCAACATGACCAAATATGAAATAGTTTTGAAAAACGACTTCATTTATGATAACAGGAAACGAAAAACAAAAACAAATATGAAAGAACGCAACCAACGACAACCACTGAAAAACAGGCTTGTTTTTTAGTTCTTTGTGGTTAGTTTATTTTGGGATCAATTTGCAAATTTATATTTAAAAACACCGGAAAATATTTGTTTTCCCATTTTTATTCTGAATCTGTACAATGTTACTTTTTGCAGTGCATAAGATCATTTTAACAACTCCGAATTACTGTCGCCGATAGATATGAGTGATTGACGACAGAAGTTCTATAGATCTTTAAGCAGGTTTAGTAAATAGAGATTGATTTCAGAAATGAGAGCATTTTTCGAGCCGTATTATTCAGTACTGTCTTCTTTTTACCTGTGTTTATACGACTTCTGAACTGAGTTTATTTTATAACTATACTGATTTATACATTGTGTTATTCTAATGATCTAGAGTGTGGTAATACTTGGAAGTTCTGCTCGAATAAAAGTTTTCTCACTAAATCTTTTTTATTGTCTGGCTTCTGTCGAACACACCACATCTCCTTTTACTCGTATTCAGCCCAATTCCAAACCAGCAACCCACACCTCCGGTATAACATTGAAAAGTATATTGCTGTTGTCTAATGATGTTTTTATTGATTTTCACCAGTAGTTTTTAGTACATTACAGTTAATTTCTGAAAATCCACAAATTGAAAGTGAAAATAAGATTTGAAAAAAAAATGATCATTCTGAAAATATATTTTGCAGACTATTTAGTTTCTGGTTGGAAAACATGTTTTGGATAGCAAAATAGTGGTCATCATATGTTTCTTAACCCAATATTATATATAATTTGTCACAAAAGAGACGAACTATTTTCTTAGTTGCTTTGTCGCTCTGTGAACAAGAGAACTTTCAGGAAATTGGAATATAGTCTATAGTCTATCTATAAGTCATGAAAACTTCCATTTGCTATTTATAAGCATACATTGAAAATTTCCATTCAGCAGACTGGAAGAAGCCTTCGGTAATGAAAAATCAATAGACTGAGATACGTTTGACTTGCCGCTATTAAAATATGGTTGGAACACGTGGAGTCAGTTTGAGAAGAAATATTTAATACAGAAAGCGTAAGTATATTTTGTCATACAGAGCTATGATTTTAGATTTAAGAAGTCTTTTATGTTTCACGATGAAATGTAATCCAAATAATTATGACGTCTGGAAATGCTATTTCATTTTTTTTGTGACGCGTCGTAGTAAGGCGTAATTATTTGGACTAGATGAAATAGACAAAAGGGTTTGTCGTTGGTAGCTGTCTGTCATATTTGTATAAGTATAGTGTATATTCTATTGGCTGTAAAACTTATTACAACTTGGTACATTTATATAAATATCAATAAAATTATTCTTAAAGGTCATCAATTAAACATTGTAAAAGGATCTTTGAATATTACTGTTTTAGTTATCAATACATTGAAACATAACTAAATAATATTGCTATACAGGTATGATCATTTACGGTTCTACATTCTGTCAATATTTTGGCACTGCAGAAGATACTGTTTTTCTCTGACTGTTTATGACGTCACCATAAGATGACATCTTTACACTAAACCATTTGGATACATGATTGTTTCATTAGTTGTTATTGGCTTTGAACTAGCATTCAGTAACTGCGATTACACTCGATTCGGTACTTTATGTCTCTTTAAGTATTTTCATTAGTTGTTTGTGTATGCTTTGTTTCGATCTGATGAGTCTAACCCTTTTAAGCTTATTTTTATAGCTTGTTCTTATGTAGTACTGTTACTCTGCTGTCCCAAAGTAAGGGGAGGTTTGGGCGCTCGAAAATATGTGTAACCCCGCAACATTCTGTATGTGGTTGTCGCAAGTCCGGAGCCTGTATTTAGCTTGTTAACCTTTATTGCTGCATTATCATAGTAGATTTTCGTTTATTCTTTTATATCGTTTGTTCTTGCGTTGTGCTGTTGCACCACTGTCCCAGGTTGGGGAGGGTTGTCGTGTCCATATACATGATTAACCCCACCAGATTCTGTATATATCTGTCTCAAAGCAATTTAGCGATTTGGTCAAACAAAGGAAACCAGGTAAGCATATTGACTTCCACATTACGGTGGCGTCTAAACAATTTGTCAAGCTCGACAAATATAGTTAGCCTTTCTTAATAGTTTAGTATTAGTTAGTGAATTGCATTTATTTGCATTTCATTTTATTCACATGCCTAACTATTATTTTGTAGGTAGTTAAAATACAATGGACACTGCATGTGACAAGCCAGAAGTGGAAAATGAAAATGTAAACAGCAATGCAAAAGAAACACAGTGTTTGGAAACACATGAGCATTTATCTATGCAGAGCACAGAAATGACTACAAACTTTCTTACAACTGCGAACACCAGCGATGATAAAAATGCCATTGAACTCACAGGCTTGTTTCCTGATGTTTTAATTGAAGAGGAAGACCGAGGTACCCACTTTTTAGCTCACCTGGTCCAATGGGCCAAGTGAGCTTTTCTCATCACTTGGCCGTCGTCCATCGTCGTCCGTCGTCCGTCGTCGTCCGTTAACTTTTACAAAAAATCTTCTCCTCTGAAACTACTGGGCCAAATTTAACCAAACTTGGCCACAATCATGATTAGGGTATCTATTTTAAAAAATGTGTTCGATGATCCCGCCTGCAAACCAACATGGCCGACATGGCTAAAATTAGAACATAGGGGTAAAATGCAGATTTTGGCTTATATCTCTGAAACCAAAGCATTTAGAGCAAATCTGACCGGTGTAAAAATATTCATCAAGTTAAGAACTATCTGCCTTGAAATTTTCAGACAAATCAGACAATTCGTAGTTGGGTTGCTGACCCTGAATTGGTAATTTTAGGGAAATTTTGCAGTTTTTGGTTATTATCTTGAATATTTTTATAGATAGAGATAAAGTGTAAACAGCAATAATGTTCAGCAAAGTAAGATCTACAAATAAGTCCACATGATTAAAATGGTCAATTGACCCCTTAAGGAGTTTTTGCCCTTTATAGTCAATTTTTAACAATTTGTTGTAAATTTTTGTAATCTTTTACAAAAATCTTCTCCTCTGAAACTACTGAGATAAATTTAACCAAACTTTGCCACAATCATCATTAGGGTATCTTGTTTTAAAAACGTGTCCGATGACCCCGCCTACCAACCAACATGGCCGACATGGCTTAAAATAGAATATAGGGGTAAAATGCAAGTTTTGTCCATAATTTTATGAACCCTTATAAATAGAGAAAATCTAAAAGGAGCAAAAATGTTCAGAATAATGAGCTCTACCTATTGTCCATATACGTCGAAACTGTTAGACAAATTCTTATAGGAGTTATTGCCCATTAATGACAAATTTTACCATTTTTTTTTTCATTTTTGCCTTTGATCATGAAAACTATGATATTTAGAGAGAATTTTTTCCCGTTATGCCTTGTATGATTTAAATTATAATAGATAAATAGACACTTTAAATCACAGAAATGATCAGCAAGGCAAGATCTATTAAAAAGTCAAATTTTGCCGGTATAGTTAGTAGACTGTCACTCTTCGTAGGAGTGATTGCCCTTAAATGAGTATTTGTTTTTACCCTCTTTTGTGTTTTGAGCAAAAGTTAAAGAAGATAGAGAGAAACTAAAAAGACTAAAAGATCAGTAATACAAGATCAACCAAATAGAGATTTTTGTCATGAAGTCTATTCTCGTCTACAATGTTGGAGAGTGTCCTTTGTTTGATATGCACATAGACCAAGGTGAGCAACACAGGCTCTTTAGAGCCTCTAGTTTATGTTTGTGATTTTCATTTGCTGAACTTATTATTTTACTACTTTATGTTTATTACATACACTTCATTAAAATAACACTAAAGATGTGACATATGCTCATATCAGTCAATGAGGTACAATAAATTAGGATGTAAAATTACTTAATTGCTGTGTATGCTGACCATTCCCCCGAAAAACACACAGAAAAATGGGGGGAAAAACTAAACTTTTAATACATTTGAAACAAAATTTTGCATACCAAATTTCGTTTGAACTCACAGTCAAACTCAATTACGTATACTTTCTCTTAGTCCTTCGGAAACCGATAGCGCATGTCGAACTCGTAATTTTAAATGTTAACACTTTGGTGCTTATAGGACTTAAATACTGATTTTTTTAGGTAGATGTATACAAAGAACACAAAACTATCTACAAATTGCGTGAAACATCCATGTTTTATTATATTGCGATGATATTTTTTATTACATTGGTTGCAATGAATTACTTCGATTTCCCATTGTAATAAAAACCGATAATTTCACATGTGAAATAAACATGGTTATTTCACTCCTCTGACGTCATACAACAATAGGCGTTGTCAAGACGTCGATAACGTCGGATCACAACAAATGTAAATGCGTAGAAAAAGATATAGTTCCTTACATTTTCTACTGACTTTAATTTCATAAAAAGCCATATGCCAATGTAATAAAAAGAATAACTAATCAAAGAATTCAAATATCGAAAAATATTCAACTCGTGACCGAACAACACTGATAATTAACTCATGCGCTACGCGCATTCGTGAATTAATGTGTTGTTCGGTCACTCGTTGAATATTTTTCTCTATTTGAATACTTCGATTAGTTATTCTATAATTAATTTGGAACGTCTTGTTTTCTACGGTGGAAAACAACGACGTCTATTGAAGCAAACGTTAATTCTCGTTACGCACTAAACACGAATGACGTACCTGCGCGATAAATTAACTAATTATATCTAAATATTAAAATGTTTTGTAAAGACGTGTAGTATTTGCCTGCCAGGTTTTGTCTTAAACAGAAATATGCTACAAAGAAAACTTAAAGCACCATTTATGCTGTGAAATAGTCAATCTGATCACACACAAAAACAGTATACCCGTATACAATGTATGTAAGTCATTACATTAAGGATGTCAGTCACTCTTGTTATGGACTTTTTGTCAAATACTCGAAATTCTCTAGTTTTATCCATGTAGTGCTATTATAAATTTTTCCAGCTAACCCCTACTTTTCCTTTCATTAATTTCTAACATACAATTGAAAAGGCTACTTTTAAAAATCCTATAAAAAGCCTTCTTATTTTTTCAATGTTTTTGAAAGAAAAAGGTGTTAATGTTAAATATATGAAAAATCTAGAGAGAACAATTTCCCGCCAAATTTTCCCTTCATTATATCTCAATATAATAACAAGGACACGGACCTTTTATCTTTTTTCTACTTTTTAAGTTCCATTATTTGTATTCTATCAATTTATAATAGTCCTTTAAAAGGCTTGTTATTTTGAAACAGAGAGGCGAACATCCTTAACTCATTTCTTCAAAGCAGTTGTGGAAGCTCTTTTTAAAGTATTAACTTTATCTTATTCATTAAAATTCTAAGGCTAATAAAAAAAAACAATCTAACTTACAACTATACACTCTGTACTGGTACCAATATATATACAAGGTGATAGAACGTGCCGCTGGAATAGGTCACATTTTCCAGAATGAAAATATGTGAATTGGTAGGAAAAACTATCAGAAATATATGATAAGGTCAATAAAGTTTCCATTACTTGTGATATGAAAAGCTCTGTCATTTTTTTCACAGCCGAAAGTCTCACCGTAAGTAAACATTACATAAGGAATCTTAGCCTCAAATATTCCACTTTTCAACATACTACACGAAGCCCAATCAATATTGGAAAAGGGAACATTTTGCCAACGCAACATATGAAAAGGTATACATTTTTAAGATATAAATTAATTGAAAAGGGTGGGATAACAGAACCCCAGCGGCACCCCTATCAATTAAGTATTGAAGTGCTGCCCCCCCCCCCCCCCCCCCCCCGGAGAGAAAAGGAACTAATCAAATTGAACTTAACTACCCAAGACTGTAAAAGAGTGACGAAAGATACCAGAGGGACAGTCAAACTCATAGATCGAAAAACAAACTGACAACGCCATGGCCAAAAATAAAAAGACAAACAGACAAATAATAGTACAGATGACACAACATAGAAAACTAAAGACTAAGCAACACGAACCCCACCAAAAACTGGGATGTAACTTACTTCCTACTTCATATAGTTGTACCCCAAAATCAATCTGATCTAATAGACAATTATAAACAAAGATTCATTTCAAAACACCATAATAAGACAAAAAGTAAAATAACAAACCATGTTTTAATATATTCTAAAAACAGATTGGCATTTTCAGAATATACAAAAAAAAATTCACTCAAGCTCAAATTACATGTGTAAAGTTGATGGCAGATGATTATTTTTTTTATAAACTTTGACAAGAAACTTTTGAACCAAAGTACCCTAGTGGTAAAATTGAAATCATTATTTCCAAATTTTGACAGACGCCATCACACTTAGTTGACAATTAGAGAAAATTTTTATCATGTTAATTACAAATATGTTTTATTTTCGTTGCCCAATTTTGCACTCTTGACCACGTCGAATGAGAATTATCATCGAATGTGTACTTGTCATGAGTATCATGACAGGTGCCACAAGTGGAGCAGAATCTGCTTACCCTACCCGAGTACTTGAAATCTACCCCGTTTTTTAGTGGGGTGTGTGTTGTTCAGTCGTTAGCTTTTTATATAGTGTTTTGTATACTGTTGTTTGTGTATTTGTCGTTTTTTTGTTGCATGAATTATGATTTTTGAATGTCCCTTTGTCATTTTCTATATTGTTTTAATTCAGAATTCTGGAATAGTGATATATAGCAAGTATGTAAAGCTTAAAAACTTAGAGATGAACGCTCTTGGTTTGCGAGCTACAAATTGTAATTCGGCGTACAAGCGTTTTGAATACGTATCGTTCAATATTCTTTTGTAGTTGCGTTTGTGTACTATTGTTTATTCTGTGGCATATCTTTTGTAGAAGAAAAGATCACCAACTATGGTCCAAGTAATATTCTTTTTTCAGCCCTTGACACTTATATTCATAGATAGTTTATTCTCCCGACCACAATACAGAGAACTTGCTTACCTTCAGATTTCTTTAAAGCATTTGTGGACTGTTGTTGGTAATTTCGTCCATTTTCTCATTGCAATGATGTTGATTTCCTTCGATGTGTTGCGTTTGATTAACTACTCTATCTTTCCCCCTCTTTTTACTATCAAGTTTACCTGCTTAATGCCTGTCCTTACAGGGTACTAATACTAACTTAATATCATTTAATTATTTTTACATATTTGAGTACCAGTCCATATTAGAATCATACGAAATGTTGTACATGGGTGAAAGCTTACACAGAACATTTAATATCTCATTTTTGATAAAAACAAATTTAAGTCGAAATTCATATATTCTGATAAATTCTTTAAAATTGAGAATGGAAACGGAGAATGTTTCAAAGACACAACAACCTGACCAACGAGATAAAAACAACACAAGGCTGCATGTGGGTTTTCAACACAGCGAGAAAAATCAGCACCCGGAGGCGGGCTTCAGCTGGTCCCTAAACAAAAATGTATACTAGTTCAGTAAAAATGGACATCCTACTATACTCCGAAACATATATTATTAAGTAAACCTAAATAATAAAAAAAAAACCAAGACCAACAAAGGCCACAGGTTCCTGACTTAGAACAGGCGCAAAAATGCGGCGGAGTTTAACGTGTTTTGTGAGATCACAACCCTCCCCTATTTTTTTAGCCAATGTGGAATATACAAACACACAGTATAGAATGCATTATGAAACTAATGTTGAAGAGATCACTTTAATAATATCCTATTGAGTCATTTGTAAAGTGTTTGCCAATTATCTGTTCTGGTAAGGCAGTAAATGGAAAATATTACTCATTTCTTTCATCTACACTCATTGTAACTGATTGACAAAAAATAATTAGTGGTAGCCTTTCATGACGCGTATCACAACATATGGATTTTGCACGAAACGTGTATGAACTACTACTTAAATAATATTCTAAATTATGTACCGTCTGATTTAATTTCAGAGAAAGATAAAGAAGGAAATCAGATAGAGTATCTGGATGAAATATGCCATGATGGCATAGTGCATTCTGAGATCTTCCAAACAGTGATCGCCGTACCAACAGAAATTGAACCCTTACCGATTGACCGGAAAGTGCTTGAAGAAAAATCAGTCCTGGAAGAAGCTGTTGGAAATCCTGTTGGTACAACATTAAAATCTAGCTCTAGGTAGATTATACTATTACAGTTTTATTTATTGTACAAGTCAGGTTTAAACCTGTAAAAGGCAGAATTTAACTCAGAAATTACTCTTTTTATAATAATTGTATTTGCTGTGAAGGAAAGTATTATTAACCAAGTTTCTGTATAGACTTGTAAGGCTATCTTGACAAGACATATATTTTATTCTGATATCTCATTGTAAATAGGATTAAAAAAAACTTTTGAAGATAGTTAAATCTGACAACTTGATATTCAGTTTGGTGTTCCTGCCTTTAACACTTACTACTCATAAATATTTCCTCCACTTCAAGTTTTAGGAACTGCCTATCTTTCCAGATCACCCTAGTTGATCCACGGATTTTGAAGGGTTTTTGTTGCTCTATCTTGTGGACTGTTGTTTGTCTTTTCGTCATTTTTCTCATGGTAATGGTGTTGTCTAATTTCCTTCGACGTGTTGTGTTTGATTTACTCCTTTATCTTTTCCCCTCTTTTTACTACCAAGTTTACCTGTTTCATACCAGCACTTTTAAAGTATTTAGTGAATGTCAATTTATTACGTTTACATTTTTAAGTGACAGTCCGTATTAGAAACATGCAAAATGTGTTTCATGGTTGGAAAGCCTTCAAAAATGTAATATCTAATTTAGGATAAAACAAAAATATGTAGAAAATCATTTATACTAATAGTATGTTATAAAGACTCTTACCAGGTGAGACATAAATTCTATATTATAATCCTGATGTTGAGGGAAATAACTCCAATAATATCCTTTTTATTTCATTATAAAAATATTGTATGCCTATTATCTGTTTTGGTAAGGCAGTAAATGGAAAATATTACTCATTTCTTTAATCTACACTCTTTGTAACTGATTGACAAAAATAAATATTTATAGCCTTTCATGAAGAGTATCACAAAATATGGATTTTGCACGAAACGTGAAAGGACTACTATTCAAATAATATCCTTAATTGTATACAGTCTGCTTTATTTCATAATTTAGAGAAAGATATAGAAGAAAATCAGATAGAGTATCTGGATGAAATAAGCGATGATGGCATAGTACATTCTGAGATCTGCCAAACATTGATCGCCGTTCCAACAGAAATTGAACCCTTACCGATTGACAGGAAAGTGCTTGAAGAAATATCAGTCCTGGAGAAAGCTGTTGGAAATCCTGTTGGTACATCATTAATGTCCAACTCTAATGTACCTGGTACACTATATTAAAGTTTATTATAAACTATAAAAAACGAACTTCAACTCAGAAGTTACTCTATCTTTAAGGGGTGATCTCAGAGAAAACCATGCGAAAGGGTCCAGAAGCAATGTTGTCCAAATTTTATATATCTTGAACAGTAAGTTGGTGCATGCATATGCTTTCAAATGACAAATTATTTATTTATAAAAAGTTTAAATGGCCGTCGCATGAAGTCTATCTTGGAAAATCAGACCTTTTTTAAAATGGCCTCAAAATGACAGCAAAACGTAGGCAAATCAGAACAATTTATTTTTGTACACTGTATTAATACAAACAAACACTATATATCATTTATAACACAAACATAGTACAACTTGTTTTTACCGTAAAATAACAATTTTGTTTTCTGTGGAGAAAAGTGTTATTAACCGAGTTTCAGTATAAACTTGAATGGCTATCGTGACAAGACATATATTTTATTCTGTTAACTCATAAATAAATAGGATTAAAATAAACTTTTGATGATATTAAAGACTAAATTATCCGAGAATTAATCATGAATCTTTACCTACATTAAACTGGCCCCTGAAGATGAGGTAAAATAATTTTACGTGTATTGATTATCATTAAGAAAATAATAACGTAACGTTCTTCACCTGTTATTTTTGTTACAATAAATCAAAATTTGTTATAAAAATAGTGTGTATAAAGTAAACCAAAATAACTACATCCTTTGTCTCATCTTTGTAACAGGACAATTGCCACCATTTGCCATTACTTGTCCTTCCATTCTTCAGAAATGTTCCTAATCTTCACTGGAACGTGAACGAATTATATCGATGACCTGTAGTTGAAATGGTGATGTGACTAGGTTATTTATTCAGAAGTTATGCATCATACAAGAATAAAATGTAAGCGAAAACTAACTAATTAAATTTCGTTTTCGATGTTTGTCACATCCAACACGACTCAAGATTGGTTAAAACATAAAACGATGTGTGACACCTATTTTAAATTCATATTAATCAAAGAATCGTCGTTGCTGTGATCCAGCCAATTATGTAGCTATTCAGATATTTTTTTTGTTATTTTTATTTTTATTTCGATAATACTATAACATTATTCTGAAGATGGAGAATTTCTCAAAATTGATTGAATTATTTTTTTCTTTGTTGTTCAGTCTTCAGTTTTTGTATGCTGTGTTTTGTATACTATTGTTTGTCTTTTTGGTTTTTGCCATGGCGTTGTCAGTTTAGTTTCGTTTTATGAGTTTGAATGTCCCTTTATTGCCTTTCGCCTCTCTTTTGATATTTCAATTTTAGAAGGACTGTTGATTTTTTACATCTTTTTTTTAATAATATTTCAATTGTATGATTCTGAGAAGAATGGAAAGGAAAATCTTCACAGGCTTATTGTCCTTTTTATATTTCAAGAAAAAGGCATTTAAAAAAGCTGTTTTTTAACAACAACAGAAACTAAATGCCTTATTATGATAAAAACGGGTGTCATTCTTCAATGAGTTGATTCTTAACAAAACTTTTAGTGTAATTGTTTGTAAATCATGAGAGTTGTCAATCATACTGGCATTGTATCATTACTTTTACCCGCCGTATGAAAGCATTTGGAAAAAAGTGTGTTTATCAACTTTCATATCAATACACATCTTGTACCACATTTTATTCAAATACTTACACAAGCTTAAAAATACAGTTCAGCTTAAATTTGATATACATGTAATACTTTTTTCCATTTAAATCATAAATAGTTATCTACTATAAATTTTGATTTACAAAGGAACTATCTGCAAGTATATATATTAAATTTAGTAGCTGTTTGACCTCACTTTTATTTATTCAAGGACAAGTAACATGTCAAAAGTATGCACTGTTGTATAAACTAATAAAACACATCATTAGATCCTTGTTATGACTTCAGCTCAGTTTCGCACCATCTTAAAATCCGTAATGATCACAAAGATAAAGCATGTCTGGATTGATAGAATGGAAATAACAACATATAATTTTTGAAGACAAAATTATGTATTGATATCGGTGATTTGTTGATTTTAAGATATTGGATGAACTTTTTTCATCGATTTAATACGTGCTTTCTATACCAATGTACACATGTTTTATAGGAATTTATTCAGTAATATATCATATATTAAAGAGTTTTTGTAAGAGATAAATGCCATAGTTTTTAATTAGTATTTGTAGCTCAACTTTTTTGGAAAAAAATGATTTAACATGAAATAGTGAGCCCAAAAGCTATTTACTTATAAAAAAATATAAGCATGGTTGCAATGTTTTAGATTAACAATGTTTGATTTTATTTTCACTGTAAATAAAAGGTCTTGAAAACAATATACACCTCCTCCAAAGAAGTTAAAATTATATACAGTGGACAAAGTCATTGTCTAGTGAAACAATTATTCAAAGATATTTCAGTAAATATCAGAAATAAAATAATACAGATACTTATTGTAATTTGTTCACACATTGTTGTCAATATAATGGAATTTTATGCGACTGTCATACAAGTGAGGGGTTTAGCTAGCTGTAAAACCAGGTTTAATCCACCATTTTCTTCATAAGGAAATGCCTGTACCAAGTCAGGAATATTAAAGTTGTTTTCCATTCGTTTTATGTGTTTGAGCTTTTCATTTTGCATTTGATAAGTGACTTTCCTGTATGAATTTTCCTTGAGTTCGGTATTTTTGTTATTTTACTTTTTACTCATTTTTCTGTATAATACTTCATAGCGTAGAGCTTGTTTGTATATACAATTGAGGAGGGGAGCCTTTTTTGTATCCTTAGAAAGCATTCTTATTGTCGTTGTTCTTTGAATATTTTATTAGTATATTTTGAAATAAGAACAAAAGTTTTAAAGATGTCTGCCTTTTAAATTTTTCTAAAATCCAATTGATTTTCTTGGCGCCTTTTTTGTCGACGTATCAATCGCAAACAATCGAAATGAAAACAATTGTTATAGTTTTTGTTTAACACATTTTGACAAATAACTTAAAACCAATTAATGAATCAGTAGCAATAACAGCATATTCGCATATAATAGCAGCTAATAAATTTATATTTCGTGTAGCGCGTAATATCGAATTTATACATTCAGACAAAATAAACTGAAATAATTAAATGACTTACTTGACTTATATACAGTATAAGGGAATAACAGGACATCCGAAAAATAAACATGGTTATGTATTTTTAAATGTACAACTAATTGCATCAATCTGCGGACCATGATTAGGATAATACGTATATTTAATTAATATTATTTACATTCAAGATACTCATACTGAATAAATATATAAAAAGCGCATGTGGAAGGTGAGACAACTCTCCATCCAAGTCACAATGTATAAAAAGTTAACAATTATAGGTCAAAGTACGGCCTTCAACACGGAGCCTTGTCTCACACCGAACAGCAAGCTATAAAGGGCCCCAAAATAACTAGTGTAAAACCAACGGTCTAATCTATATAAAAAATGATAAACGAGAAACACTTATGAACCATATCAACAAACGACAACCACTGAACAACAATATCCAGACTTAGGACAGGTGCATAAAAATTCAGCGGGTTGATACTTTTTAACAGTCGCAAACTTTCACCCTTACCTGAGACAGTAGTGTAATATTACAACATAAAAAGACACACTATACATATCAATTGAAATGGCTTAACTCGATCAAAAGGACTTTTACACAGAAACAAGTAAATATACACTGAACGAATAAGTTTGATTTATGACACAATATAAATACAATATTAAAACGTAAGTGTCTATATAACATAGACGTTACAGGTAGTAAAAAAGTAAGTAAGCTCTACTAGCTTCTCTTATATGTACATACCTTTAATTCACTTTTCCAGTCTGTCAGTCTTTTGAAGGCCTCGATGACATTACAAAACATCTTCAAAAACCGCTGACAAAGGAAGACGTCCAAGTTCATGTTACATCTAACGGAAATATAGAGTCAGCAGTGAACAATGAGACAAGTGAAGTGACAGTAACTTCTGTAACTTCTGATAATAAAAACGAAAATGAAGGCAGTAAGTATAATATTTTCACGCATAAATATTTTGATAGGGTTAATATGCTGGATATACTTACTGGAAGTGTGATAAGATAATTAAAGCTGTACATTTCCTCCTTGACAACATATATGTAGTTTCTGCAATTAAGTTATCAACATGTTGTAGGTATTTCTATTGCAACCAATTGCACCCCTTTAAAAGCAGCCTTTTCTTTCCTGTATTGTTATGAATCCAGGTTTATGTTGAAACTTAGAAAAGTCTAAATTTCATAAAAATGATAAATGCAACAACGCCTACACCTTGATAATATTTATTCGTTAGATAATAAATATTCTCTAAATATACGGCGAAATTTACTCTACGGAACTGACTTTAAATAGCATATACATATTATCACGTTCGAGACCAAATGTTTGGTTAGCCAAAGAAATAATATGATGGAGAGCACATTTTTCAAAAAGAACACAACAGACAAAAACCATTAAATGTCAACTTTGTCCGAGGGAGTTTAAACCTTAGCTTAAGCACAATTACAAGCAAAAAGTATGACTATACGAGAAAAAGGATACGCTATCATATGTTAAAATTCCCGACTGAGTTTTCATTTGGTCATTTGTGCTTACAATTATCACATTACCTTATATGTTAATGAAGCTTCTGGTGTGGACGAAGAAAAAGAAACTGGATCTGACTATTCTGAAATACCAAGTGAACCAGGTGAACCAATTGAAGTAGAATCCACTTCGAATAGCATTACTTTAGCTTGGAGTGAACCAATTAATGGTTCAAATAGCATTGATAATTATGAAATTAAATACAAGGAACGCAACACACAAACTGCTAGATGGATACCAGTAGTCACAGAAACAAAAAGACGAACCACTACAGTTCCAGACTTAAAATGTGGAACAGAATATGATTTTAAGATACGAGCGGTGAATCAGGATGGTGAAGAGGGTCCATTTAGTAAACCTGTCAAATTCTCTACCAATATATCTTTAGGCAAATCTGTTCAGACTTGCGCTAAAAAGATTAGAGATGGAAATCCAACAATTTTCAAACTTCCACTTCATCAACCAAAAAGTTCAACCAATCGCACTGCCAAAACACGAAAATGTACATTTGGTTAGTATAACTTTAATTTTAGTGAATTTATTGTTTTCGATTTTCATACATGTCTTATTTTGATCTTAGAATTATTGGTCAAAAAGAGTGAAAATTAGATTTCGCTTGATATCAACTCGAGTTATTTAATTTCAATATTACAATGGACGCGGCTTTGGCGAGTTTATTATCATTATTGAAATTAAATAACTAGAGTTGATATCAAGCATAAACTCGGGTTATTTAATTTCGATATAATAACAAACGAGCTTTTAATGAGTTTATTAATATTATCGAAATTAGAGAACGAGAGTTGATATCAAGCAATATCAATTTTCACGAGTTGTTAAATATTGATTCTACTACTGAATCCAGTGTGATACGATATTTCTCCACTCGAGACAGTCAAATTTTCATATTTGTCACGCTAGACTTTCCTCATGATATTTACAGTTCTTTATTTAGTTACACCTTATTCAACTGTCCCAGATAAGCTCACAAACATGTTAAACCCTGATTGCCGTCAGTTGCTTTCTGTCATATTTGTTCAAGTTCTCGTTTATTGTTTAGGCATAAATTATGATGTTGGTCTCCCTTTTGAATCGTTTCACATTTTGTCAGCCGGGCCTTATTTGGCTTACTAAACGGTATGGGTTTTGTTCATTGTTTTATACCGTACGGTAACCTAAAGTTGTTCATATCCTCGCCCTTTTAGTTGATAGTGTCCCACAGGAGAGTTCCAATATAGTTGTTGGGTTAATGTGGAAATTGAAAAAAGTCGTACTACGTGTCATTTTTCTATACATCCAGCTTGTTTTACGCAGGTGATTAGGCAAATGTAAACGATTTGAAGAGATTTCCACTTGAAAAAGTTGACCGCACTTATCTAGATAGACTCCTCACTGAATTGGCCCAACACTGCATAGAGTTTCCAACGTTATCAAGTGAATTGTGCGTGTAAAATGAAATCGGCCACAGTAAAACTGGCTATCTTGGATTTAAAGTTTTGGCAATCATACAACACTTCCTTGTTCTTATAGAGTAGACGGGACATTTCAGTGTGTGCACTCTTGATCATATTTAGCATATTTCGCATCCGTTAATTTGTGATATATTTTGATATCCTAAAAATGTATATGTAGAGCAGACAAAAGTGTAAATATCTTAAAATTGAAAAAGTTACACAGCTACTATAGTACAAGCAATCTTGATGTACAATGTACATTTCTATGGATGGATATAAACTGTACATAACCAAAGATGTATACAAAATGTACATCTGTAAATCTGTATATAAACTGCACGTCTGTTACAATGCATATTAACTGTAAATTTGTAAAGCTGTATATAAACTGTACATTTTATAAAATGTATATAGACTGTACATATTAAAGCTATATATTAACTGCACCTCTAAAAACTGTACATTAACTGCACATTTGTTAAGCTGTGTATAAACAGTAAATATGTTTATATGCGTAAAAACGGTACATAAACTGCATTTGAAACACATATGTAATTAATTTGGGATAAGATGTGCAGTTTATATACATCTATATAGATGTACATTTTATGTACAGCTTCACAGATGTACAGGTTATATACATCCTTTCAGCTGTACAGTTTTAAATATATACAGCTTTAAAAATGCACAGTGAATATGCATTTTAACAGATGTGTAGTTTACATACAGTTTTACAGATGTAGTTTATATAAAGCTTTAAAAATGTACAATTTATATACAGTTATGCAGCTTTACAGATGTACAGTTGATATACAGCTTTACAGATGTACAGTTTATATAAGCTTTACAGATGTACATTTGATATGCATCTTTAGAAATGCACATCAAGATTGCTTGTACTCTACTAAAGTAGCTGTGTAGGCATGCACAGCATTGTATATTTTTTCATCGGGCAATAGTGAGTCGTGGTCACACAGTGATACTCTTTGAAGTTGAAGGAATATGGGTAAATGTTCATGATATAATCGGAAAATCTACAGAGATACTGACAAAAGTCGGGAGATGTTAAGGTCCAATCAAACACAATGATGACCTAAAGTCACAATGTTATATATGTTTTTCATTTGTTAGAGTGTTCTAAATGATTGGCTAAAGGGATCATGAAACATTTGCACAAGTACATAATGATAATGCGTTTTGCATTTATTTCACCGATAACCACAACATAGCAATTGTTAAATTATGAAATAACTTTCTATGAAATAGATTAAATGTACTACGCAAGTGCTTATAATGAGTTTTATATACATTTGAGGCTGAGATAAAGAGTCTCCTTCTCAGTAACACATGCAAGAAGAATGTGTGTATACGACATCGAAAAACGAGCAAAAACCAAAAACACCTGGAAATATCATTTACAGGTTTCTGGAGACCAAATGATTGGAATGTCAAAAATATATGACGTTGTAGAGTTTAATAAACTACTGGCACAGAGATAAGTCTCACTTGTCGGCAGAAATTCTGATAAAGACAATCTGATGAACATCAACATTGTTAATTTATTCATAGTTGGAGGACCGTGACCTAGCGGACAAAGCCTCGAAATGATCGACAAACTGAGATTTAGTGATAGTAATGCAACTTTATAGAAAATATCATTGTCTATCAGAAACAGTCCCTTCTGTTGTTCATTTGTTGGAGTGTTCTAAATGATTGGCTTAAGGGATCATGAAACATTTGCACAAGTACATAATGATAATGCGTTTTGCATTTATTTCACCGATAACCACAACATAGCAATTGTTAAATTATGAAATAACTTTCTATGAAATAGATTAAATGTACTACGCAAGTGCTTATAATGAGTTTTATATACATTTGAGGCTGAGATAAAGAGTCTCCTTCTCAGTAACACATGCAAGAAGAATGTGTTTATCGACATTAAAAAACGAGCAAAAACCAAAAACACCTGGAAATATCATTTACAGGTTTCTGGAGACCAAATGATTGGAATGTCAAAAATGTATAACGTTGTAGAGTTTAATAAACTACTGGCACAGAGATAAGTCTCACTTGTCGGCAGAAATTCAGAAAAAGACAATCTGATGAACATCAACATTGTTAATTTATTCATAGTTGGAGGACCATGACCTAGCGGACAAAGCCTCGAAATGATCGACGAACTGAGATTTAGTGATAGTAATGCAACTTTATAGAAAATATCATTGTCTATCAGAAACAGTTCCTATCAAACTGACTTAAGCAAAAAAATTTAAAACTGGACTATGCCCTAGGGGGCAGTGCCTGGGAATAGTCATCAAACTGACATGTACTGGTAGTAATGCAACTATATAGAAAATATCATTGATCTATCACAATTAGTTCCAATCAAGCTAACCTAAGCAGAAACTTAATATTGAAAAATGGTAATAAATTCAAAGTCACTGGACCATGAACTATGGAGCACAACCTCGAAATAGTCATCAAACTTATAAACTGATAGTTATGCAACTTTATAGAAAATATCATTGATCTGTTACAAGTAGTTCCCATCAAACTAACTTAAGCAGAGAACTTAACATTGAAAATTGATAATTAATTCAAAGTCACTTGACCATTACCTAGGGGACAGGGCCTCGAAAAAGTCATCAAACTGATATGTATTTATAGTAATGATACTTTATAGAAAATAGTATTGATGTATCACAAGTAGTTCTTATCAGACAAACTTGAGCAGAAAACTTAATAAATTGTTGACACTGACGACGTTGCCGAAAAGACCTATATCTCGCATTCCGCGACGTTCGTTGAAGGCGAGTCAAACACAGAACACCGAAAAACCCTCTTGTTGATCTATAGTTGTTTACATCCTCGTTCTTTGGTCTTTGGCGATGATACCACATTTCCTTTTTATAAGGTCAACATTTGGGATAAGAAGTCAACTATTGAATAAGAGGTCATCATTGGATAAGGGAGTCGCAAGAAGTTTTATTAAAATGACTTACTCAAGGAACTGGATATTTTATGAAAGGAACCACTGAATTCGTTCCATTGCTGATTCACAATCTACTGTTCCTATTGATTAGACTTCTGACGTAATTTTCTAACACTATGCAACATGTCCAATAAATTAACGTGGTTGAAAACGAAGAACCTCCAAGCAATTGTGATAATACAGTAGCATTGGTGTTTATAATCATATGTACCATATAAATATAACGCACTATATTTGAACTTTCATATACTTTTTCAGTTTTTCATTCCGACTCTCAGTAAATGGATTCGATATTCATACGTTTAGATATGCTATTGCGAACGATACAACCTTTCTATGTGGTTTACACTTCAGATTTTTTCTTGTAGGACAGAAAAGGGTTAAAAGTGTTGAAAAAACAATAATGTTAGTGGGTGCCACCGGATCTGGGAAGAGCACATTGATAGATGGCATGATAAACTACATTACCGACGTATCGTGGGATGACGATTTTCGTTTTACTTTAGTTGATTTAACCGATGAAGAGAAGAAAAGACTTAAAAATCAGGTAAACCACAACTATGAAATATCATAGATATAAAAATAAGAAGATGTGGTATAATTGCAAATGAGACAACTCTCCAAATGAAATAGAAGTTAACAACCATAGGTCATGGTACGGCCTAAAGAATGAGCAAAACCCATACCGCATAGTCAGTTATAAATGGTCCCTAAATGACAAATGTAAAACAATTCAAACGAAAAAACTAACGGCCTGGTTTATGTAAAAAACAGTGAACGAAATACAAATATGAAATACAGCAACAATCGACAACAACTGAATCACAGGCTCCTGACTTGGGACCGGCACATACAGTACGTGGCGGGGATAAACATGTTAGCGGGCGCCCAACCATAGAGAATCTTTTGAAAATATTCTATGCAAATGACGGTAAATTAAAGTGACTTTTATTCAGTGACCTAACAGAGATAAGTTGTTAGTTACTGATTCAACCAGTCTTAATATGATTCTGTAACTGTGATATAAGTTACCAAATGAAGTAGGTGTATATCAACTTTTTCCGAATATTAAATTTTCTGCATATTGATACATGATAGGAAGTTGTTTTATCAGGTGAGCGCAGCAAACGATCTTTAATGATAATTATTCCTTTGATCTTCGATTGAGTTAACTTCTGTAATTTTGTAGAGAAGTGCATCAACTGGTCGGGTTTTTCTTATTATACTATCCAATCCCGATATTGACTGCTTGTCATGAGAACCGCAAAGAATGAGAGTAGCTTAGATCAATGCATTAACTTCATTCTCAGATGTTGTTATCGCACTGTCTGGTTCCACCTTCTTTAACTTGTAAACAAAGAAAGGGAGTTGCGGCCTTAAACAAACTTTAACCCATACCTTACCCAAATAAAATCAAACGCCTTCACCTAGCCTTTAATTAAAACATTGTTCCCTTACCTTGAGGCACATGAATGTCCAAGAGGGAGCAACACAAATGAATAACGTGGTATATGACAGAAGATGCAATATTGTTTATTTTATTAAATAACAAAAACCTAAATACAGATAAGTAGATCGCACTTACCTAAAAGGTTATTTTTTAAGAGATACCTCGTTTTTTTCCTCCTTTTTCTCGCGACCCCTCCCAGTGTATTTAAGGAAGTTAACGCCCTCTCACATTTGGTTTGGTACTTGTTTTTATCGTGTCAGAATTAATATTCTAAAATATATTTCACTGGATGACCAGTCATTAAATTTCTTCCACTTTACAAAGTTTTTTCTGTGAATTGACCATGCTTAAATCATTATTGCCTGGACATTACACAATCAATAACCAATTAGTCAATCGACATTTTTCTTGTTGTTGGGAAAGAGGGAATATGTTTACAATTGGTTTTAAAATGTCTTTTTATTATCAGGACGTGTATAATCTCTAAAAAAACGCGTCCTTTTTGCTTTAAAAGCAAGCAACATGGTATACGTTATACAAGATTTCCGGTCTGTAAACCTTAATAAAAGTCTCACGATAACAAATCATTTACATGGTCATGTATCTAAAATGCGAATCCTTTTCTTCCACAGCCACTAACTTTTCGTTAAACATAATTTCAAAATAGCCTCTTGTTTTAATCTCTTTTTGAAATTGTTAAAAATTAATATTCTTCTTCGTGAATATGCATGACATATTTGCCTGATATAAAATTCGAATAATCAGAAGGTCAGTACTTTTTTTGGATATTTAAGGGCTTCAAGCAGACATAAATCTTTATATACTGTAGAAATGTGAGATCAAATGTTATTTATTCATTTCAATTTTTTATTTTTGCAGTCTGATTCCCAAACCGAATGGATAACATGCTATGCAGTTCATACAATGGACGGCAGTAAAATTGATTACAATCTTAACATAATTGACACACCTGGATTTGGAGATACTCGTGGTATCATCCGTGATAAAGCTATCGTCGACCAAATTCGAGAATTCTTTACATCTCCAGGAGACCAGGGAATCAGGTTTTTGGATGCAGTCTGTTTTGTTACACAAGCGCCTCTTGCTAGACTTACACCTCCACAGCGTTACATCTTTGATGCTATTTTGTCTGTATTTGGTCAAGACATAGCTAATAATATATATGTATTAATTACGTTTGCAGATGGAAATGAACCGCCAGTTAGGGATGCACTGAAAGCTGCATGTGTCCCCTTTCAAGGTTCTTTCAAATTTAATAATTCTGCCCTCTTTGCTTCTAGCCAAAAATCTGATGAGGCCAAATTTGGATCTTTGTTTTGGAAAATGGGTCAAGAGAGTTTCAAAATATTTTTTGACGAACTCAAGTTGGTAGAGTCCAAAAGTTTACAGCTGACTACTGAAGTCCTGGAACTGCGGAAAAATTTAGAAGCTACTGTTCAAGGACTGCAGCCTCAAATTTCTGAAGGAATGAACAAACTAAATACGATCCGACAGGAAAGAGAAGTTTTAAAGAGACACAAAACAGACATTGAAGCTAATAGAAATTTTATTTATGAGGTCGATGAAATTCATATGAGAAAAATAGATTTACAACCAGGACGTTATGTTACCAATTGCCTTACATGCAACAGAACATGTCATTTCCCTTGTCGTATTCCAGATGATGCAAATAAAAGAGAGTGTGCTGCTATGTATAATGGCTCATGTAAAGTATGTCCCAAAGAATGTCACTGGAGCGTCCATAAAAATAACTCTTTTCGGATTGAAACCTATAATATCAAAGTCAAGAAAACATACGATGAACTAAAACGAAAATATGAAATAGCACAACAAGAAGAACAGAAGCACAGGTCTGTTTTGGGGAAAGTTAAGAATGCATTTTCTTCTCTAGGTAGCAAAGTAATGAACATGGTACATGATGTACGTTGCTATATCAATAAACTGAACGAAATTGCACTTAGACCTAATCCTCTTAGTGACATTGATTACATAGACTTGCTTATAGAGAGTGAGAAAAATGAAAGAAAGTACGGATGGGAAAAGAGAGTAAAGCTTTTCAAGAAAATGCGAGAAGAGTCGGAATTGGTGGCCAAAACGTCAAATGCAAACTTTAGACCATGGGGCGAAGAGGAAGATATAATCAATGACGAACCAGAAAGTTCATAAAGTATCTTCAACCAACTTTTGAAATAAACTTTTACATCCAGACCTTGTATGTTCAATATAGATATATTGATCAAATGTATTATCAATATAAGGTCAACAATTTCAGTTTGTTATATCTTATATAAAACATCACATAAAATTAAAACAAAAGTGAAGACTTTGAAATGATTCACCTGATTTATTAGTTTTTATGTTGAACGACTAAGAGATGTTACTACAAGCACTGCAGAAATTTTACATTAATCGCTAAGCTCCATGACAATGGGGAAAAGGTCAGTAATACTTTTAGGGCGAACAATTGATTCAATCTATCCTAATTTTCTTTATTAGATTCAGTTTCCAATTTACTACTACAAGTATTAAAAAGGTCAACTACTAGTATATGTATTGTACAAAGTAAAGTGAATAGGAAACTGAATCTAATAAAAAAGAAACGCTAGTCAATGACAAGAAGGTCTGGTGAACACTTGTCAGATGGACATGTACACATCAAATCATTATGAGACAGATATTAAATATACATGAAGCTGACCTTTTTCTTACGGACCACTGGAATTCCATTCTAGATCAAAATGTGATATGTCTGTCCCATGTTCAATATGAGAAAAAAGGTGGTTTAAAAAATGTCTCACATATTTTCATAATTGAGGACTCATTTGATAACTGAAACACTTTGTATTCAAAAATTAGCGTGCTTAATGCATCTTGTTTTTAAAATCTTTGGCAATCGACAAATGTGATCACGGAGTAACAATACTACATTATTTCGATATCTTTGAAGAGTCTAAACCAAGTAGAACTATCATCAATGCATCAAAGATACTAGGCTTATAATTTTGTGCGCCAGACTAGCGTTTCGACTACAAAAGACTCGTAAGTGACGATCGAAACAAAAATGTTAAAAGGCCAAATACAGAGCGACGTTGAAGAGCAGTGAGGACCAAAAATTGCAAAAACACATTTCAATAGCAGGAAGATTAAGAACACTTTAAAGAACTGGAAAATTATTTCCTCAGACAAAAAGATCATACAAGATGTCCAAAATGTAAGAGATATTAATGAACAATCAAACCAACATGTTTGTACAAGCATTGCAATATAGCAGGCTTGTTCATGGGCATATACCTTCTAAAATTTGATGATTACATGCTTAAAACAAAACCAAAGGACACTTATAAGAAACAATAGAAAATGTCTGCGGATCGAAACAGAAGCGACTCTGTTCGACTACACAGTACTTATTCAACCTTCGGTTCAAAAGATACAAGGTTGTTCACTAAAAAAAATGAAACCAGTAGCAGGTTTATTGCGATGGATGGGTGTTCGTTCGATCATATAGCTTCACAGTATAATTCTATTGATAGAAAACCCCAAAGGTAAGAAATTCACAGAAATTCAACTTTATTTCCTCTTCAAAAATTGGGATTTCAGGTAAAACTGGAAAGAAAACAAGCTAAAATCCAACCGTAAAAATAAGAGTTTTGGGGTTTTCGGATAGATTTTGTTGCAATGATGTTCTATCTACAAAGAGAAAATGCATCTCAGATAAAAACAAAATCCAGGGAAATGTTAAGTGCAAACACATATATATAGTTACAGTAAGGCAACTACTACAGCTGACAAGAAAGCCATCATCCTCTATTCCATGAGGATCGTTTTGCAAATCAGCTATGTCGATTTTTTCAAACAGATCAAACTAAGGGTATGTTGAAGGGAAGGTCCTCCAAACACAAAAAATTACCTCACAAACGCTTTAATCAAAGGCAATTGACGCCGATTCAATTTGTTTGTGATTACTAGTTTTCATCCTTAAATAAAAGAATTACACCGAAAAGGAGACTATATTAATTAAATCGGAAAAGACTATTGACAACTGATTTTTCAACTGATCGGTTTACTTTTCTTTTTGAAACTGATAGGGAAAACTGGTAAGACTTGTTAAAAAGAGAAATGCTCATTAGCTCATAGCGCTATAATGTTTGGTTGTTATCTTACCTTTGTATTCTATTTATTTAATTCTTTTTTGTATTGTTCAAATTAATTTTTGTTCTTGTTCAAATGTATTTTTTTAGTATTGTTCAAATCTAATTCTTTTTCATGTCTGAGAATACCATTATAGTAACAGTTGTCTCAGTTTATGTCCGAAATTGTCATTTATGGTTACACAAATTAAATATGTTTAGCACTGTTAAATATTTTAAGAAGAAAAATTAAAAAGGAATACAAATTGTCATTATCAGTTATTTGAATCGGGAAAACTATTCTGCTTATGCCATTTTTCGTTTTTTCAATTTCGCAATGTAAAAATTTTACATCAATTTGAAACAATGCAGTTGCATGAAACTATATAGTTGTAACTATGGGGATCTGACCAAATGTATATCAAAGGGCGCTGAACGCCTATTTTCACTTTTGGGTTCATAATTCTCCAGTGACCTGAGCAATGCATTTGTCTGTAGCTATTATTGTCAAAATACGGAATTGGGTTACAGAAAGTCAGCTTCCGATCCATGATTCGTATCAATTTTTCAATGGGGGACGGAGGAAAATTTACAAAAATAAACAATCTTTGACGAGCATGTTAGAAAGGAATATGATGTTTTTTAATGCAATAAATTGATCAAATGTTAACTCAAAGCTATTATAATCATGTTTAAATGAAGTGAAAAATTAAATTTGCCGAAATTTTTGCATAAATTGTTGTTCTTTTGAAGTAGCATGCGACCAGTCTTCAAATTAAATTGACTTAGTTCTCAATTTTATATCATTCAACTGGCACTTTAACAAGTAGTGTATTACTCATGGTGCAGTTATACAATTTCACAGCAAAGAGTGTGAAGGCCCCGTACAAGAATTATCATATTTGTTTACCAAATGTTGTGGAAAAACAGATATGTTTTTAACTAAATAATGGTATAATGGATTCTTCATTCGAATTTTCAATATCGATTCAACAACTGACATATTGTGATGAGAAATCTATAGAACGAAATGGCAAGGATAAAAACGCACTTTTCACTCAGATTTTTACATAATAATTTTTCGAAATCCGGTTATCGGAAAACATGCAAAATACAAAATACATCTATAAATTAAAGTTCTAAGACTTCACCTTTAACTGAACTTGTTCTAACTAGATTAAACTTAAATAAAAAATAGAAAACTTGTAACAGAAGAATCTACTTCAACCAGTTTGACATGAATCTAGATCGGAAATATGGCAGTCTCATCATAACAATATAAGGAAACGGTAGTATTTATTCTTCCATAGGCTACAATTCTAATATTTTCTAAATTTACCACTTTTAATGATAAAAACCTGGACTGAACAGTTATGTGTGCTAGTAGTACTTTATTATTCTGTCGTATAAATTGAAGTCGAATAGTATCATGCGACAATCTTCGAACTGAGCTTGTTTATGATATCCATGCCCACCGTCATTTTACATCAAATTATGAAAATTTGGAAGTCTTTTCGAATAATTCTCAAGAAATTATTTCAATGAGATTCAAAATTTATATTGTAAATATACACTCTGCATTCATTCATAGATAAATAAAAAAATATACTGTTACTTTACGTCCAATCAAAGCGGCGCTCCTAGGTTAACCTAAAGCCGGGAAAATGTAATACTACTTTTTTTTCCCTATACAAAAAAGCAAAAAGTAATTGCCTTAACAAATAAACAAAAGAGTTCATTGGAAAAGCAATAACACTTTGTAGATATTGTGATTACATCAGACGCCTCAAATGTAGGATTGGCACTCAAATTTCCTTTTCCCATCATTCTGTTTATGTATACCATTGCTGAAGTATTGTTTTAAAGTTATTGATTGGCGGCAAAAGGGGAATATTATATTTTAGTTTTTTTATTGTTGTTGCTAGTGAGAAATTCTTGACTGTCATGGGTTTTCAGCCTTAATTGTTTTATCATTGTCTTTGAGTACGGACATACAGCTGTATAAAGGAATATTTATAAAATAAAAAAGGAACGTTTAAAGTCAATGAAAATGAATTGATACATGTCACCAAGTTATGCTTTGCATCTAATGTTCATCTCTCAAGTTAGCATGCATTTAACAGGACATTAAAAAAATAAAAAAAACATACAAAACTGACTAAGTCCTGAGGCTGCTGACTTGGGACCGGCGCAAAAATGCGGCACGGGGTTAAACATGTAATGTGAGATCTCAACCACCCCATATAGGCTATACCTCTGGCCAATGTAGAATCATTAAACACAGAGCAAAACGCATAGTAAAACTCAGTTAAAAAGAAGTCCGAGTCCGATTTCAGAATAGATAACAGAAGAAAATAAGGAAAATGACAATGATACATAAATTAACAAAGGACTACTAGTAGTAACTGACATGCCAGCTCTAGACCTCAATTAAACTGATTGAAAGATTATGTCTTCATCATATGAAAATCAAGTACAATCCCTCCCGTTAGGGGTTTAGTATCAAACTTATTTTAAACCTCGCAAAACAAAGATTTAAACGACGTGAAAATAGTTTAAAAAGACGTTATAAAAAACAAAGTGGAAACATGTTGAGTTCTATGAAAAAAACGAACCCAAAGTACTTTTATCGAAAATTCAGAAAACGAAAAAAGGCCACACAAAGCAACATACAATTAAACGATTTTGTGAAGCATTTCAAAAACTTAGTTTCAAAAGAAGAAATTGATGACGGATCGGAAGTAAAGGACATCAATGAAGTCATTTATGAAGAATTGGGTCGACCTTTTACAGAGCAAGAAATTGATTTGTGTGTTAAAAAACTGAAAACTGAAAAGGCAACAGGATATGACAATTTATTAAATGAATTTCTGAAGGAGTGTAAATTAACTCTACTGCCACTGTCATGTAAACTTTTAAGCGTAATACTTAATACCGGTGGTTCCCAGAAATATGGGTCAAGGGTGTTTTAGTTCCGCTATTTAAGAAAGGTCCAGTGGATGATGCGGGACATTACAGAGGAATTTCGCTTGTGTCTCATGTTGGGAAATTGTTTACTTCTGTAATTAAACAAATACAAGACTTTTAAAGTGGTGCAAAGAATACAGTATATTGACTGATGCGCAGTTTGGGCTTGTCCCTGGATATGATAAACACGACACCATTTTTGACCTTTCATTCTGTTGTATCAAAAAGTTTACGTAAAGGAAAACGTCTTTATTGTTGTTTTATTGATTTTGTCAAAGCTTTTGACAG